TTTGTGGAGATTGCTGTCTTGGAATCCGTAAGGACAGAAGTCACTCTTCCCTCGTCATATACCTCCCAAGAGCTACCATGTGGCAGCAGAACGTTCCCACCAAACCACTTTACATAGACTTGGTGGGCTACACAGAGAGATCAACTCTTCCTTCCTCGTATAGGGCCGTGTTCCCTCTGTCTCCACAAAGCCGCTTCTGTGCGGCAGGAGTTTTAGTCATATACCCTGCCAGGCTTGTTTGTCACATCTGCTCTGGCTCTTACCATTAGGGCAGAGCCTCGGTGGGAACGAGGGCTAGAGCGCTGCAATGTCCAGCGCGCGGCTCACTTCCCAAAGCCTCCACTGGTTTCCCAAGGAAAGAATGGGGAACAGGGCTGTGGCCTAGGCTTATCTCTCAGCAGCTCACCGCAGTGAACGAGCAGGTCCTCGTGGAAGTCATAGAGCTCCTCCCGGATCTCCTCTGGGCAGGGGCAGTTCTCTCCCAGTTGAAAATTGAGAAGCATGTTGATCTTTGAGGGCAAAAGAAGAATGTTTCTGGTTCTCAACAGCAGTCAAGGAATACAGATTTTGTTTTAGATCTATGCTTAACATTCTGTATACAATTTTATTTAATTAGCTTTCTCAAGTTAAAATGGCCTAGACTTAAAATATCTTTCACATATTTTTCTGCTTAGGAAGGTAAGTTATTAATTATACAAAACTTGGAGAATATCAAAGAAGAAAATTTGCTGTGATCTCGCCAGCCAAAGATAACCACTGTTAATATTTTAGTTAGTATCTTTCAGATTTTCTGTTTATCCACACAGATTTGGATCACACACTGGTTATACTTTTTTTAAACTTTGTATTTTCTATTTTTACCTTGAGCATTTTCTTAATCTGATTTTTAATAGGTACACTGTATTTTATTCTAAGGATAATACTTTTTATACCATTAATTCTGTTATATTTTTAGTTATTTGCATTTTTTGTTCTTGCAACTAAATTGTTCTAAATTTCCTTTCCTATAATTTTTGATCATATATTTAATCATTTTCTTGGGATAAAAGCCTAGAAGCAAAATGGCTAAAGTGACGGGTTTCTATACTTTAGTGGTGTTGTTATGAATCGCCAAATTGCTCTCCTGAAGGGTCACAGAAATTTATATTACTACCAAAATTATATAAGAGTATGTATTTCCTTCCCATCTCCATTATAACAGTGAGAGTTAACACATTTTCCAATTTAATGGGTGAAAAATGTCCTATCCTTGTTGCTTTAATTTGAATTTAATTGGTGAGGATGAACTTGATTTTTCTACACATACAGACTGATTTTATAGATTTTCTGTCCATGTTTGTCTTCTATTTTTATTGGGGAATTATCTTTGTAGAAATTGGTGAATACTTCGCACAGTTCTAGATTCTTACCCTTTGTAATAATATGCGACAAATATATTTCCTGGGTTTTAGTGAGTTCTTTTAACTGTGTTCATAGGTTTTTGTTTGTGTTTTTGACATGCAGGTTCCCATCCTGAAGTCAGTCTGTCATGCATTTCCTTTACAGTTTTGTCTCAAGGACTCTTAACTATTTTTGCACCTCTGCTAGTATGTTAAAATCCATGGGTTGCTTTTTTGTTTATTTTAAGAAAATAAGACATACAAAAATCCAAAGAAAATCATTACTGAAATCCCCTTGTCAAAATCACAAAAACCAAATTCATGATGTAGTAATACTTGTTGTTTTTCAGTTTTAGCACATTTGTGGTACACAATGATGATGTTCCTTGTGAGGAGGTAGTCCATGTACATAACACATTTTCATTCTTTTTTAAAAAATCCCATTTTCCTTCTTTTCTTGGTTCCCTCTCCCTTTGCAGAAGATCTATCTCTCTGATTCTCACTATCTTTTAGTTTTTTCTTTATTTATATTGAGGCTTATAGAAAAGAAACAATGTACTATTTAAGTTTGTGGGTCTGATTTAGTTCACTTGCCATCATGGCAGATTAGTGTTCCACTGTGTATAAGTATCACATTTTCTTTACCCATTCATCTGTTAATGGACATACAGGCCACTTCTAAGATTTAGCTATTGTGGATTGTGCTGCTACAAACAGGTGTCATTGTTTGGAGTGCATGCATCATTGTAATATGATGTCTTTAACTCTCTTGGGAAGATGCTACCTAGCAGGGGACAGCTTAGTTGAATGGAATATCTATTTTCCATGTTTTGAGGGCTCTCCATGCTGATTTCTATAGTAGTTGTGCTAGCTTACAGCCCCACCAGCAGTTTAGAAGTGTTCTTTCCCCCCAGCACCCTCACCAGCAGTTGTTATTACCTGATTATTGTCTGATTTCTTGATGACAGCCATTCTTCCCGACTTAAGACAGAATCTCAGTGTTTTCTTTTTCTTTTTTTCTGCATTTAGGGCAGGGTCTATAGGGCCTACAGGGTCTCACTGTGTAGATCAGACTTGTAGCGATTCTCCCGTTTTCAGCCTCCCAAGCGCTGGGATTACAGTCATGTGCCAACACGCCCAGTCTTAGTTGTCATTTTAGCGCACCCTGTGGCTGCTGAGCTCTGCTTAAGGAGGCACATTAGTCTGCTGAGCTATCAGGCTGGCCCCTCAGAGTTGTTTTAATTTGCATTTTGTTAGAGCTTGTGCTCTTGAGCACTTTTTCAAGTATTTATTGGCAATTTGTGCTTCTTGTAAGAAATGTCTGTTCATTTTATCTGCCCATTTTTTGATTGGTATTTCATTTGAGGGTTGTCTGATTTTTCTGAGTTCTTTATATGTTCTAGGTATTAGTGCTCTGTCAAAAGGATAGCTGGCGAATCTTTACTCCCATTTTGTAGCTTGTCTCATCATTCTGGGGACTGTTTCCTTTGCTGTGCAGACGATCTTAATTTGAGCTGATCCTATTTGGTATTCTTGATATCATTTCTCGTGAAATTGAGGTAAGTAATGCTTCTTTTTTAATTTAAGTAAAAAGAGCTAGTGGATGCTCTCATAATCGCTTTTGAGAAAAGTGGTACTGGGGATTGAATCCAAAGCCTTCACCCTGAGCTATGTTTCCTTGCTATTTTTATTTTTTATTTTGACACAAGATTGATAAATTATTAAATTACCCCAGCTGGGCAATTTGGAATACTCCTTCCTTGGCCTCTCAAAGTGCTAGGTTTACGGGCATGTGCCATGTAGCCTGGCTCATCACTGTCATCTTGAAACACCAGTGAGTGTTTTTAAATACTCTGACCATTATAATGTGATATAAAAAGACCTGCAATGCCTGTTTGTGACAAAGCTAGGGACTCACTTTGCTGCTGTCAGAGATTAGTGAAAATTAAGCTGGTATTTATTTCTCCCCCGGCTTTCTGAACATCAGAACTCATCCTTCAAGGCCAACAACTCTAGCTTGGTGAGCACCTGGGGGGGGGGCTTCAGAAATTAAGTAGACGCAATCTCGGCCCTTCTGCTTCTCAGCCATGGTAATCCAACACCAAGCAAAAAGGTATTTTCTCCATCTGTTAAGATCTATGACCTCTTGTTAAACAATGAGTTTTACTTAACATTATTAGAAAGACTCTTGCTCAAATCTTCTACTGCAATCATTTCTTGGAAGTGGTAGAGGTTTTGTACTAAAATAATATCCATTAAATCAGTTTGAAAGTCACTTTGTGACTTAGCACTTTTCAGGATGCTAATTTATGATAATTGAATCAATAATATATGTTTTTTTCTTAAGTAAATGTAAGATATTAAGATTTGATTTCAGAGTCACAGAACTAATTTATTTGCTGATAGATCATACTGTTGGTGGAACATTCTGGAATCAGCAGCTCCCCTACTTACAGGGTATGAAGTTGAGGGATGAGGAGAAGAACTAAGCAGAACTCTCTGCTCTAACTTCCACCTTTTAACAAAGTCCCCTGGAAGTGATAAACTACTGACCACACTGAACCAGCTTGCCAACAACCGTGGGACCAATCTTAGCTTTACCTTCCTTTGCACTTAAAATATATCTCTCAAGGAGTTTTCCATCACTCTGAATACTCTGGATGTTAGGATTAAAACCTCCATTTTCTCTTCAAAGCATGTGGAAGCAAGTACAAATGGCCAGAAAATACAGGAAAAATTGTCCAGCATCTCTGACCAGTAGAGAAATACAAATCAAAATAACACTGACATTCACTTTATTCCAGTAAGAAATGCTATTATCTAGGACTCAAAAACAACCCAATAAAACAAAACAAATTCTGGCAAGGATTTTGGGGAAAAGTGACCCCTTTACACCACTGGTAGGAATGTAAAGTAGTAAGACTATTATGGGAATCAGAATGGGAATGCTTCAAAAAATGAAAAATAGAAACTCTATTTGACCCAGTGATTTCCCTTCTAGACATCCTCCCCAAAGAGGTAAAGAATCCTATTACAGTGCATACTCATGTGTAAAGCAGCAAAACTCCCAAGTGCTAAACCATGGAAGAGGGCTACATGTTTGTTCCTCAAATGAATGAACAAAAATTCTGTGGTATACTCACACAGTGGAGTATTACTCACTCATAAAGAATATATCTGAGTTATATTTAGGAGATGAGTGGATCTTGAGACCATAGTAAGACCATAATACGAGTGAAATAAATGAGACACAGAAGGGTAAGTATCGCATGGTTTCTCTAACATGAAGGTCCGCAGGTATAAATAATTGAAAGAACAAATTAAAGAGATGGTAGGCAATAGAGAGAGAGAGACTCTATGGAGAGGGGAAAGGGATCTGGGGAAGGCAGGAGAGAGGGAAGCAGAGGGCAAGGGAGGGGGGTAAAAATGAGTAAGATGTGATATGAATATGTATCAACTCCCTAACATGAATGCTTATGTATTAAAAACATATAATAATAAAATATTTTCATAAGAATTTATACTGAAAAGACCCATCAGATTTCTATGCACACTCTGTCTTGCTGATCTCTTCAGTTGGTCTATATCTTCTGCATCCTTCAATGCTTTCTTACACTGAGATTGGTACAGATTGGTCCCCTCTCGAAGCAAATTATCTGGGAGGGGTGGCAGATGAGACAGCTGAGATGCTTAGCAGTTAGTGTCCTTTCTTTGATTTTATTTTTAGACCAGCAACATCAGAATTAACAGAAAACTAGCTAAATACAAATACCTGAGGCTCACTCTAGACTGTTGAATTAGAGATCCTGTTTTATTAATTAAGCTCTTCAAGTGGTTAGAGTCAGGGTTTCCAAAACAATGCATCAAGAGATTGGCTAGAAGCCTAAGGGAGGAGGTGGCAGGGGCCTGGACAGGGTTGACAGCAGGTCTGGGAACAGAATGGGGAGGAAATAGGAGCCAACACTGTCCTGCTGGGAGCCAGGCCAGGCAGGGTTGGATGGACGACCCTGGTGCTGGCTGGCGTAAAGAGATGCCAGAAAAATGTGTGAACTCTACTCTGACCAGTAGAGAAATACAAATCAAAATAACACTGACATTCACTTTATTCCAGTAAGAAAGGCTATTATCTAGGACTCAAAAACAACCCAATAAAACAAAACACTGGCCATTGACTGAAGATCACAGAGCAAGGCATGAGGCAGATACAAATATACTGAACAGTAAAATCAATGGTACAGATATTGGCATATAAAATTGGGCACAGTATATGTAATATAGCAATTATTAATTTTTTAATTATTGTTTTGAAATTCTGTACATTTCCTATTGTTTTTTGTCTTTGTTCCTGTTATTTGTTTTTGTTTTTGTCCTCTTTAAAATAAAAAAATAAAATTGATGGTAGTCCAGGTAGTACCTGTGGAGAGCTTATTCTTTGGCAGACATCATGCTAAGCAATCTAAATAAATTATCATGTAGGTCCTTATCCTTGTAGCCGTGGAAGGGAGTTACAAACACTGCCTACATATTGAGCTGGAAAAACAGGGATGCAGAGAGGTCATGTGCCCAACCACACAGGACATGGAGCTCTGCAGTCTGAAGTCAACACTGGGGCTGCAGTCACCCCATCATTCCCCTTCTCATTATCCCTAAACACATGACAGATCTGGCAGTTGCCTAGAGACGGGGGAATGTCCACACTGTTTGCCAGCCTAAAAGCAGTCCGTCCCATCTGTAAAGTCCTCAAGAGCAATTCCTGGGAGGGGAAACGGCACAGAGACTTGTTCCAAGGAAGCCGAAGGGTCTTCTCATTTTGCTTCCAGGAAAGGGAAGTGAGCTTGGTCTCCTCTTTAGCAAGGCCAGTATCATCCAAGTGAATCTTTTCAAAACCAAGGTATGTAGTTCATTTTTAAGCCAGCATAAGTATATATGTTCTATCAAATAGGTTAGGAAAGTAATTGGATGAAGCAGTCGTTGTGCCATTAACATAAAATAGTGGCAATTACACTGAGAATGATTAATGACTAGAACACTTATTAAATATACATAGTATCTGAAGATGTGGTTTTAGAGACAGAAAACTAATTTCTTCATTGAGATATTGATCTTCTCTTTTGAACATGTTGGGAGGCTAACCAGTCCACAGGGCATAAGAGGACTGCTGACAAGTGGCATGCATGAAAATTATTATTCTTGAAGATGTGCCTCCCTCATTTGAAAGTTTCTTACCAGGGTTTTGACTATCCTCATAGAAAGCTTCTCATCTGGGTGAGGCTAGCTACGAATAGAGTGCTGTAGAGAATTAATGCAATACATCACCAAGTATGATTTGCTGGTTGAGTGCCATTCTCCAGGCTACACAGGCTGGGATGGTTTGTTAGAGCGCCATGGGCACTGGGTCAATGGGCTGGACACATCAGAAGAGGAAGGCTGCATTCCAATTCTCACACCAGGGCCTCCTGACCATGTTTTGTGGGTCTTTCACAGGGAGGTAGTGACTTCTGGACGGGATGTCAGAAATTCTGAGTGTGGATTCTTGCTGAGGTTACAGGTGAATCCCCACAGTGCTCTGGGTTTTAGACTCATTCATAAAGTATAGTTATGACAGGGTAAGGGGAGAGAGAAAGCCTCGCCCTGTGTGTAGCGTAGCAAGGGTTCTTTCCCTTCCCAAGATCATTGGCACATACTTCTCAGTCATGACCCACACAGCAAGGGCTGGCTCCTGTGCCATGACGGGTCTTACCACCTCAACTCTTGCTGAGATACCATGAAGATAATGTGGGCCCTGCTCTGTGGGTTCTTCTGTAGGAAAGCTGTCTGGGGAACAGGAAATCAGTCTGGGAAGAGGCTCTTACCTGCTCCTGTGGCGGTGAGCGAAACTCCCTGGTCTTCCGGGCCGTGAGGGCTGCAGACATGTTCAGGGCCTGCATGAGCTCATTGTAGCGGAACTTCTGATTTGCCTGCAGCTTGGAGACATAAATGTCACCGAATGCCACAATGGCCTCCACTCGGTGCTGCAGTTCACAGTCACACAGATAGCTGAGAAGCTCACACATCTGCAAAGAAGTATATGTGCTAATTAGCATCATTCTAGGTGTATACCAGTGAGGCTTCCAGCACCCTCATTTTACAGATTAGGATCCCAAGACTTACACAACTGGAATGACCTGTTTGGTGTCACATAGTAAGTAACCACAAAGCTATTACTTGAATCCAAGTCAGCCTGAATTCAGAGACTGGCTCTTCATCATTAGGCCAGGGGAGTAAGAGGGAAAAAACCCTCCCTAGGGGCAGAGCACATATGTTTATGGAGAGAAAGGATGGCATGGCCAAGACAATGTTTGCAGAGAGCTCTTCACAATTGCCTTCTCTTTTGATGCCTTCCAGTTCTAGAGGATGGAAAACTGGGATGTTTCTTGTCCTTTCCTTATTTTCCAGTTGTCACTGATGTACACTGACTGTGACTAGTTCTTTGCTGGCATTATAGTACTTCTATTATTATTACCACTGTACAAAGAAGTTTAAAACTTAAAACCACTATTTTAAAAAATACTAAAACTGTAAAAAGTTGGGGGGAATAAAAAATGAAGGCACACTTTGGGCTCAGGAAGCTTTCCAGTTATAGTCAGCCATGCCTCACTTAAGGGCAGCAGTGCACCCTGCACTGGCCATCCTGAGGTGAGTGCCCTGGTGTCACAGTGTTTTCCACAAACTGAGGTGGTTATGACAGCACTGAGCAATGTGACCTTACAAGGCCGCCGTCACCTCGGGTCTACTGTTCACTGAAATGCCATCACAGAGCACATGACTGCTTCTAAGTTGAATTTTACTTGAAAACCTGCTGGACTGGTGACTACAGGTACTGCTTTCCAGTTGTCATCTATGCAAAAAAGAACTTCATTTGCCAGACAGGGGACTTACACTAAATGAAAGTTTTGGCCCTACATCAGAATAGTACATTTATAGGTTTCAATTAAACACCTGGGGCATATATGCATAAAGATTTTTTATTTCTCCTCTATATGCAATTTAAACAAAAATGTAATTAGTACAGGGTCTCACTATGCAGCTTGGACTCATCGTGATCCTTCTGTTTCAGCCTTCCCGGCACTGGGCTTACAGGTGTGTGCCAATACACCCAGTCTTATGACTGGCTCATTGTTCCCAGGGGTGGCAATGGCATGTGGTGCTGTCAGTGTTTTGATTAACTGACCACCTACAAATCCCATCACCTTGGCTAAGAGAGCCAATATGGGTTACCAATATAGGTTACCTTACTATACTTGTGATAAAGCTTATTTCATATTCTACTTCCTGAAATATATTTTATATAATCCATATTTTACAAGTGTTAAAGCTAAGGGCCTGGCTGGTGGTTGACCTGGCCAATTCATAGAACATGTAAGCAGTGAGGGGCAGGCAGGGTCTAAATCCTACTATACCTATGAATGTCTGACCCAGGCCCCCAGTACTGTGATAGACTGTTCTATTGATTTTTCTCTTTTCCTTGGCCTATGACTGAGGTTAGCTAATATGTGGAAAACCTATGTAGTGTCTGAAATTCCTACACTGTGCTAGGGTGGCTCCATTGGTGTGGCTGTCCTCTGTAGCTCAGGTGGCAGCTATGTGAATGCTAGGCTAACAGGACTGGGTCAGTCCAGCTGCCTGGACACAGCACCTGCCGGGAGCAGATGGGAGTGCGGCTGCCCTATGAGGCAGCTCCTTGGGCTCCTCCTTCTCTCTAGATGCACAGTTTATGAGTGGGCAGTTGAACTGCAAAGATTAAGAGATAGGGGCAAATCCATGACTGGAGAATACTTCAGAAGAATGTGTCTTATTGCAAAGGGTTATTTTTCTCACTGAGGCTAGTGGAGGCTGAGGAGAAATGAGCCTCGGCCATGAGCTCTCCTTCTGCACTCTTTGCGGCACCCTTTCAGCAGCAGGCTATGCCCACAGGAGCAGGAGCCAGTGCCCATAGTCCTGCTCTGCTATCAGGGTGTGCCCTTCTCCCTCCTGACCCACTTCTGGGAATGAGCTTTTCTGCCAGAGTTACCTGCAGCTTGACGGACTCAGGTAGTCGGGTCTGCAACAAGCCTCTGCCTGGAGCCTCCTTGCTGGCCTTCTCCCCAGCCTCCACTGCCTTTTCCTCCACCTGGGTTACTTCCTCCTTTTCTGCTCCCTTCTCTGTCTCCCCACCCGGCTCCCCAAACACAGAGGGATCAATCAGGAGCAGGATCTGGCGAACGTCATCATCATCAAAAACGCCTATGACCAGCAAGGTTCCAATGAGCTTCAGCACAGGCACAAACTGGAACTCGATGGACCCCCCAACAGGGTCTCGGATGTGGGCCCCACTACAGTGCACTGCCTCGGTCAGCATGCTCAGTGCCTTCGTCTTAAGAATCTCCAAGGGGATCTCGGGGCTCTGTTTCTGGTGCTCCTCGCTGGTCACGACAAAGCAAGGGGTAGAGAACCTGAAACCTGGCTTGAGACATGTTCTCAGACCCACCCCAGGCAGCCCATGCCTCTTGGACTCATCTGGGTATAGGCGGATATTCCTGGTGGCACCAGTGATGGGGATGATGTATTCATTCTTCATCATCAGCTTCCTCTCCTTCGCGTTGGCCAAGTGGATGCTGATGAGCAGGTCATAGAAACCAGCCCGCAGGAGACCCGGGAGATACTTGTTGTCGATGGCGTAGAAGAGCTGGGAGAGATCCACGTGGCTGCACAGGGCATAGGCAACCCGACTGTTTCCCAGGGCACACACAGCGCTGTACAGCCTCAGTGTGTGGTAGTGGAACCGCATCAGGTCTTCCTGCTCACAAAGCTCCAGGATGTCGACGCATCTGAGAGTGCACAAGCAATGAGTCACTCCATGGGAGAAGAAGGCACCAGAATACAGCCTAGCCTTGCTCTCTGAATGCCCAGGGATTTCGACCAGACTAGAAAATGAAAGGGATAAGAGGACACAGGCGTCGCTGCAGCACTTTCTCTAATGGGTTACTGCTCCGTTCTAGGCTCATCTTCTAGTTCTTGATTACCACAGCTTACTACAAGGCTGTCCAAAACCTATAAAACTTAAAAGTTAGTCAAAGCTCACTAAGTATGAAAATTCTCTCAAATGCAGGAAGCCCCAAAGTCCCCTAACAGAAAAACATTTAGGCATAGGAGTGGGCTACTCTGGTCTTATTTGTAGACTCAAGAGAATCCTCCATTTTCTAGATGCTCAGAAAATGCAGCTGAGGTTTCATTCATGTCATCTCAGCTGCCATTGGGAAACACTTATTCCTTCAGAGGTGGTCCAATGATTCTATCTCTAAACATAGCATTTCTCAGCAGTTTTTAAAAGCTATTTACAAAAAATGTTATTCTACTACTTCCCCAGTGAGGATGCTTCTGCCCTTGCCTGGACTCCCTGACCTTCCCCTGCCTCTGTGGGCCTTCAAATTACCTGTTCTCCTCTGGGATGTGGAGTGCCATCATTTGCAGGGGCTCCAGGCACTGAACGACCCAGCCATGGCGCTCGCTCACCCGCTCTGTCTCCACCTTCAGAAAGCTATTGGGCATGCGGCTCCACAGCACAGGCTGGATGGTTTGGACGTCCAGTCGAGGAGGACACTGCGGGACTGGGTTCTTCTCTTCACTCTTAAATATGGCCGCAGACAAAGGCATTGCATTCTGGGACAACGTGAAAAGGCATGAGAAAAAAAAAACAGATGTGCAACACACACACAGTTCAAGTGGCTGAATGAATGTGTCTGTCCCATGATTATCAATATGATTATTATAAATTAAAGGGAGACATATGTGTCTAGGGACCTCTAATGGCCTTGCAAAATCATTAAGGCCTTGGACAATGGGTTTTAAAATGATTAATTTTTTCAGCACCTATCAGAGGTGTGGGGAGGAGAGAAGGAGAATACAGGAGCTGTTAGCTGAGTTTCCCAGGAACTTGTAGGGCCTGGGGGAGAGGGCAGCGAGACGGTGAGCAGTGAGTGACTTCTCCTGCCTTCTGAGATGTGGAATTCCCCCCACTTGTTAGAGCTACCCTCCCTTGTTGGAGGAGGTGACTGATAAGTACCTTCAGCTTCCCAAGTTCAAACTGAAACAGAGACGTGCTTGTGGGCTGCAGAAAGACAGCTGGAAACACTTTGGTGTTGGGTTCCACCTGGAAAGAAAAACAAACTGCGACATTTTCCAGACCAATAAAACCTCAGCTTACTACACTGTGGATGTTTTAGCAATGCTCTCATTCTACTCTTGCTATGAGGAGGACAGCTGTCTGGCTGCTCAGAAATTCTCAGAGACGTGGTGTCTCTGAGGAGACTATCACTGCTCCCTGCTCTAACCACTCTACTTTGGGCTAACCGATCTTGCATCCTTCTGCTTTCTTTCTCAGTATCTACGACCTGCAGCAGGGGGACAGTCAAAGCTGATGTGCTACTCACTTGTCCCTAAAGGCAAGGCCTGTTGCTGACTGCTGAATCTCATGCACCTGGCACCTGATAGCACCATTCTTTACCGGGCCTGCACAGAGAGATGATGACTTGGGTTTTTTCTGAAGCAAGCAAGAAAGCAAGTAAGCAAGGCTAGGGACACTCAGGACCAGGGTTCTTAACCTCAGTGCTACTGACATTTTGGGCCAGATGATTTTGTTGGGAGAGCTGACCTGTTGTGCCCTCTCCGTAACACCTGTCTGTCTCACGCTCTGCCTTGCCAACAGTTGTTACAACCAATAAGGCCATGCTTTGTGTGTATTTGTCACCCCAGAGCCTCATGCAGTCATCGAGGCACAGTTCTACAGTTTGTGATTAATTAATTCATGATCTAAGGCTGGGATTATGGGTCTGAGTACTTCTGGGACTATAGGTCTGAGTACTTCTGGGATTAGAGGTGTGAGTGCTACACCCAGCCTGGGGCAGAGATCCGGAATGTAACATAAGAGAGACAGAGAGACAGACTTCCTCTCTGTTGCCATTGTTGCTGCTACTTGTCCATTTTGCTCTTTCTGCTGTCCTCTGCCATGTGCCAGTCTGCCTTGGATCTATCTGAGTACAGACTGAAACCTCCAATAACAGTGAGCTAAATAAACCTTTCCTTCCCTAATTTTGAGTGTCAGATATGTGTCCCAGCAATGAGAGAAGAGTGACTGAGACAGTTTCCTGACACTGCCACTTGCTTGGCTGGGGAAGCTGCATTCCCAGTTCAGGATTGCTACTTTACAGGCAAAGAACATGAGGTGTTTCACTTTAGTAACATTTTAAAAATGCTATTTCCAGAGCCCATCTCTCCCTCAACCCTCTGGGTTCCTCTGTGTTTTTCATCACCCTTTTCTTACTCTTTCAATTTTAGCTTTTAGGTTAAAGGGCTTGATAGGTACTGATTACCTTTTAGCTCCATCTAAGATGAGATGTGTGGATTTACTCATAGAATTAGGGCCCCTATCACTTGCTCTTTTTGCTGTAGGAGAGGACTCACAGCACAGCAGTTCTATTTGTAATAGTCTGTGGAGACATGAATTCCACTGTCATATTGAGACTTTATTTCTATGTCTGAAGCCTTTTGATCTTAAGCAAATAAAGACAGAAAAATTTCTACATTCTCCCAGCCTACAAATGGCAGATGTGTTGGACAAATGCTAATAATAATTTACTTAATTTTATAATCTCTGGAAGAATCTTCCAAACACTGACTTCTACAAACAATTACACAAGTTGGAAGAGGACTTGGAACTTAAGAAAACACTGCAACCTGGCTGACAGCTGGACTATATCCTTAGATGACCCACGTAGAGGACTAAGCTAAGTTGCACCAGGCTTCTGGCCCTCAGAAACTGAGTTAATAAAGACATGTTATTTTAACCACTGTCTGTGGTAGTATGTATGCACATATGTATGTATTTATTTTGCCAGCTCATCTCACCCTGAGGGCAGGGCTGGTGAGGCATGTGGTATCAGGGATTGAACCACAGGTGCTTTAGACTGTTGTGCTATCTTGTGACCCCTCTGGTAGTGTTTATTTTTTATATTAATTTTATTGAGAAAAAAGTAGCAATGAGACAGTTTCAAAACAGGTTAGAAGGACAGCTACAATAATTAATACATTGCATATGGTTGTCTTTGTATTAGTTATTCATAGTACAAGATACAGACATAATGTCTTGTCTGAACACTATTAGTTCAAAACTTTCTTCTCATTGAACTAAGAGAAAGTAGCTGTATATCTATGCTAACTATTTTGTATATACATATATATATATTTTTTTTCCCCACTACAAAATGGACCTCATTTATCCCCCTTTTTTGTTTACTTGTGTCAGAGATGGGGTATTCCATTGCTATTCATATATTGTAGGTGCATGAATTCAGCAAAGTAATCAGACAGATACTGATGTTAAGATCAACAGCCTATGTTTTAGGGTTATAATATCTTAATGATAAGAGCTTCTCGTCTGGAGGGTTAACAACTGAAGTTTGCAGACCAAAAAAATTAGAGAAAAAGAAGGGCCACAAGAATAGCCAACATTTTGTGCCTAGTCCTTCAAGGTCAGTGAGGACTCAGGACATAAGAGAACCTGTTCTTTAACATCCTGTAGCTCAGTGGTGTCCCAAATTTTCTGATCAAGAAGATTATGGGGCCAAAGAGGAAAGTGATCGATGATGTAGAATGTGCCTAAGGAGAGCCACCTGGAGAGAAAACATTCTCTCAGGCTTTCACAGAGAGCAAGTTGGTCAAGCAATGGCTGTGACTCATCCACATGGCTGACACTGACAAAAGATCTATGAACTGCTGTACAGGGTTTCAGGGTAAATCCTGAGGGGATTTGACTGACCTTGTCAGATGCAAAAGTTACATTTTTTGTTATATAGGTCTTGCTGCATCTTGGTCTTAATAACCCAGCAGAAAAGTATAAAAATGAGGTATAAAATGTAAAGCCATATTAATATGCTGAGCTGTAAAAGGCTCAAGTCAACAACTTCTGACATTGCAGTCATGCAGATAACCCACTACTATTATAAATTACTGGACTATATTGGATTACTTTGCTGAATTCATGCACCTACAATACGTGGTAGTTTTTAATATGGCATTCAGAAAATGCATTCAGTGAATTTCCTTTGAGTCAAACTATTCAGTACTGGCTCCATTTAAATAATAAGCTTTTTCAATGTATTTAGAAATAAGATTGATGAAATCTTACATTGTGTGGCTCTGCTATTACAAGATTACATGGTTTCATGCTATCATTCATTCATGATGAAATAGGCCAGAGTCATGAAACCTCAGACTTGGCCCAAAAGTGTCATTTTGTTATAGCATGATAGACTAACACTTCAGGTGCTTTTATTTAGTTTACACCTGATGTTTCAGGTTCTCGCGGGTGGTATGAAGAGATAAATGCCTATAAAACCAAAGTGTAATGGTAAATTTCTAAGATTCTATGCCTGGTGAAGGGAATTCAGCAAATGGTTTAGTATCTATTATGTACTTATTTTTGGTGGACCCTAAGTTTGTTTGTTTATTTATTTATTTATTGTATTTTAGGGAAGGGTCTACAGGGTGTTCAGGGTCTCATTACTAGATCAGACTTGTAGTGATCCACCTGTTTACAACCTCCCAAGAGCTGGAATTATAGGCATGTGCCACCATGCCCAGTCTCAATTGCTGTCTCAGCATACCCCAGGGATGGGGCCGGCATGGCAGGCTGGGGGATTGAGCACTCTAGCCCCTGCGCTTGCTTGCAGGAGCTTTAATCTGCTTAGCTATTTGGCCAGCCCTTGAGTTTACAGTAGTCAAGAACCTTAACAGGAAACTCTCATCTGATGTTTTTCTGACTTTGGCTGTAAGGCGGGGTTGACTCTGGGCTGGCTTCCACATTTTTCAAGTACCCAGTGTGTGGCATTCAGAATAACTCTCTGCACCCTGAAATCTCCATAACCTTCAGAGTTCTAGTGGCTGAAGTCTTTCTCTGGACCAGAAGGTGACCCATGAATGTGTGCTGATGAAGGAAGAGAAATGCATTCACTAGAAGGCTTCTATGCTGATGTCTACCATGCCAGCATAGGAGCTACAGGCTGAGTGGCATCTTTTCAGGCACCTTAGCACTGGTTCCTGAAAACTTCATAAACTGCTCAATCAAAGCCCTGAAGGGAGAAGGTGGTTTGAAAGCATGTAGGATCTCCTGATATAAACTTATTTCTATTGGACAAAGCACACATCTATCCACAGTGAACAATGGAGATTTATCTTCAGTAACTAAAGTAAGAAAATGCAAATGTAGACTCAGGAAGGTGTACAAGAGAATAAAACCAATACAGTACTGCTGGTGTGGGATCCACAATTATAGAAACCCTGGGGCTACTGCTTTAATGATGTTATGTGACTTTGGCTAAAGGGGTCCTGCCCATGTGAATAAAGCTACTAAACAGTGAACTTAAGACAGGGAAGCCATCTTGGTTCATCTGAAGTGCCCATTAAAGGGCCCTTTATTTTTATTTTTTTTCCTTTTCTTTTTTTTAAAGGGCCCTTTAAAATCATAGGTTTTCTCTTACTGAGGGCAGAAGGGAAAGTCAGAAAGATGTGAACCATGAAAAAAACTGAGCGTGCCATCAAGCGCTTTGAAAGAGGAGGGGACTATAAACAAAGGTACCCTCTGGGAGTCTACAATGGCCAGGCTTGTGGTTGGCAAGGATGTAGGATCTTAGAACATCAGACATACAGTGCAGAGAACTAGGTACTGCTGGCAACTTGAACAAGCTCAGAAGCAGATTCTTCCAGAGCCACAGAGCAAAGCCTGGCTCAGCTTACCAGACACTTTGATCTTGGCCCTATGAGAACAGCGGGGCCCAGGAAGGCCCGTAGGACTGTGAAATAATAAACAGGTTGTTGTAAGCTGCTAATTTTATGGCAACTTGTCAGACAGCAATAAAAAGTGGATACAAGTGGTTTCTCAGCCAAGTCCATTAGCCTGACAACAGGTGCTGCTTGATGCACAGTGAGCCCATGGGTGCTTCTGCCCTTGAGCCCACACCTGCTGGAGCAGGAGTATCCACTCCAATGGAAGGAGTGGCAAGCCTGGACTCGGCGCTGACACCACACTTCATGCAGTCTTTTCCTTTCACAGTTAAGGCTCATTTTATCACCAGCTGATCTATTTTGTCCTTGTGGTAATAGATACTGTGCTTCTAATCATGCATGAAGGTCAGGGCACAGGAACTGAACAGATTCAGAAACTACACTGTCTCATAAATCTGAATCTCACTGCTATTTCTGCCCTCAGCTGTAGCAATCACCAAGGAGTATTTCTTGAGTATTTCATTGTAGTTTTCATTTCTCCCCTGATTGCATTAAGTGGGACAGAAAAAGGTTTTCCAATTGCGTAGCAGTATTTAATGGGGAGGCTTAGAATCATTGTTTGAGAGAATCCTCATTATTTTGGTGACTTTCCCTTTCTGAATTGAAAACCAGTGTGTAAATATTGCTGGCTTGCTTCTCTTGAGATAATTGAAAAATGAAAATGGCTACAGCTGCAGAATAACAATGATATAACTGTTGAAGACCAGACATATGGCTGAACATGTTTCTATCTTGCTGGCTGTGGAAGGGGTTGATGGGTGTGGGTTTCCTGAGGGTCTAAAGGGAGCCCCAGGGCTCTGCTACTCCCACATTGCTTTGGGCAGTCAGCAGAACTGGGGCCACTGGGCAGGGGGAGCAGCATTTATGAGCATGTAGTAAAGAAGATCCCTTGAGGAGAGGTGGTGACACCAGCTCAGCAAGGACAACTGTCCAGCCTAATGCCACCCAGGAACCACTGTGAAAGATGGGACAAAGTTGCCACAATGTTCTCTTGTTACATTTCAGCATCCTGGATTGTTCCGCGAGGCACGCAAGCCATTGCTGCTTGCAAATGTCATCTTTTTGTTATTGTTTTTGATTCATTAGTACATGTGGACCTCTAAAATCCAACTAGCTTTAAAAGTCATTAGATGATTGCAGTTTTCTGTATCCCAGGGAGGATGCTTTAGTTCAACTCATTTCAAAAGTTAATGGGAGCCCTGTGAAATAGCTCAGCAGATTAAGGCACTTGCAAGCAGGCGCAGGGCCCTGGGGTTCGATCCCCGGGCCTGCCATGCTGGCCCCACCCCTGGGGCACATTGAGCCGGTGATTGAGTCTAGGCGTGGTGGCACACTCCTGTAACCCTAGCGCTTTGGAGGCTGTAAACAGGCAGATCACTACTCGTCCGATCTAGTAGTGAGACCTTGAACACTTTGTAGACCCTTCCCCCTTCCCCCCCAAAAAAAAGTTAATGGGAAAAAGCTAATGGATTGGAAGGACATCAGCAATGTACAGAAGACACTTTTTCAGAGGATTTGGAGCAGGGAGAGGCAGAATTGTACAAACATATGTCTACCTGCTCCCTCAAAGTCTGGCTTCACAAGTGCCTCTTTCTGGAAATGGTTGGTTGGGCCCCAGCTGCTGGCCCCAGCCTGCCACGTGTTGATGATGCAACTGCTTCCCACAGGAGGACGAGGCAGAGAGAGTGCGAGCACTGTAGGGGATGCCGTTGGACAAGGTAGCTGCCTGCATGCCAGTGAACTGACCCTGGCCCCCAGCAAGAGTTTGCTGGACCCTTTCTGGGTCAGTAAGCCTTTCAGGTTTGGGATGCCACTCTGCCTGTTCCCTGTCTGACCCTATCTCTCTAACCATGCACCAGACAGTTGGCAGCTCATAGGTTTTTCTGCCCAGAGGCTGTAGTACAGCGCTGGCTGAGGGAACAGGGTTTTCATCCCTTGTATAATAGCTGTAGTGACCCTGGAAGACTGCTGACTCTCTTAAGGGCTGCCTGCCACTCTCCTGCCCAGAAACATGCAGTAGCTCCCTACTTTCTCTCCATAATTCCTTACCTTTCCAAATGGACGTCTCACCGCTAATTATAAGAGCCCTGAGCTACTCTGTCCTCTGATCCTCACACAACACACCCGGTCTTTACTCCATAATGCTTCTTGTATCATTTTCCCAATCTAGACCACTCCTCTACCTCACAATCAAGGATTTTCCTTTAGGGTCACTTTCCTGAAAACTCTTGATGGGTAAAATCCCTTCTTCCTCTTGCGTGATACTTTCTGTCTACACTTACATGTGATTTTTTTGTTCTGCCCTCAGAATGGTGAGTATGTCTAACATATAAATTTAATTCCTCAACCTAGCATTTCCCATGGTAGGTTCTGTAGAATTATAGGCTCACAGGATACCTACCATTGTTAAAAGTTAGCAAAATCATTTTCTTGGTGATATAACTTCAGAAATGCTTGCTTAAATGGTTCTTTTCTGAAGTATTTCTCTCTTTTTTTGTGGTATTGGGGATGAACTCAGGACCCTGCTCTTTCTCTAAGTTTATACTGTGTAATATTCACTGCAAAAATTCAAGAAAAGGATGTGAAATGTAATACTTCTCCCAAGCTTATCTGGCTATTAAGAATGAAGAAATCAAGATTTCATGGTTAAAAAAAAAAGTATTTCATGGTTAAGATAGGTAAACCTATATTTACATACCTGAAAAGTTTCCTGAGTATTTCCATAAAGTTAACAGTCCGTAAAATAGGGAAACGTATTATTTACATAAATATACTTTTTAAAGAATCAGATAAGGCAGTATTCTCAATTTGTTTTTGTCACCAGGGACTGGTTTTGTGACAGACATTTTTTTTTTTACATTAACAGGGGTGGTAGTGGTGTTTGGGGGATGATTCAAGTCCATTAAATCTTCTGTGCACTTTATTTTCTTTAGTATTACATTGTGCAATTTCTATTATTATGTTAGATTCTCATAAGGAGTGCATAATTAGGTCCTTCATAGGTATAGTTCACGGGAGGTTCATGCTCCTGTGACAATCTAGGGGTCCTGCTGGTCTGTGACCAGGTGGAGCTCAGGCAGGGATGTGAGCAATGGGGTAAAGCTGTGAATACAGACAAAGCTTTGCCTACTTTCTCATAGCTCACCTGTCTTTAGTGTGGTTCCTATCAGGCTGTGGACCATTATCCCTGAAAAGTATCCAAAAGAAATGTGTGTAGGGCTGGGGAGATAGCTCAGTAGAATAAGTGCTTGCCTGGCAAGCACAAGGTCCTGAGTTCAATCCCTGGTACCGCCAAAAAAAAAAAAAAAAAAGAAAAAAAAAGAAAAAAGTGCAATCTTTTTGCCAAGGGAATATATGGCAAATTAATAGTTTCTATAGGTTTCTATTTCTTTTAAAATTTATTTATTTAATGTATTTAGTATAGGGTCTATAGGGTCTCAGTGTGTAGATTGGACTCATAGTGATTCTCCTGTTTTCAGCTTTCCAAGTGCTGGGATTACAGGCGCACGACCACACCCAGTCTCAATCACATTCTCAGTGTACCTGAGGGCAGAGCCAGCAGAGCATGCTGGGGGTCGAACCCCAGTCCCTGCCTCTGCCTAAGTTTTAACCTTCTGAGTTATCTGGCTGGCCCTTCTATTTCTTAAAGTGAGTAGTATTTCTATTCATCTCTTAAATTTGCCTCTTGTATAATACAGGTAGCATAAAGATGGAAAAGAAATGCTTAAAAATAAATGAGTAAGTTTTTAGGGCTAATCACCAAAGAAAAGCCTTCTTCCTCTAGAAAGATGGTTAGCATAACTGGTCAACGAATAAAGTCACTTTTTTTTTTCCTTAGTCCTTCATGCACCATTTGTCTTCATCAACTAAGCACATTGTGGTGAGTATGTGGAATACAGAAGAAGAACAAGGAACACAGCCATAAGTACATAAGTAGAAGGCCTGGGGCACTGCAGTCTCTGCTCCAGAAGTGTCCCTACCTGGTAGCAGGTTCCAAGTTCTTTCCCATTGGCCGAGAAGGACAACATGCCCATTGCCAGATCCACAAGGCAGCCGATCTCCAGGTCCACATTGCTCCGACTTGATCTTTGAGAACTAGCCGCAATGTCTCCACCCCATACCATGTAGCAGTTGCTGCGCTTCACACTAGGGGCCAGAAAAGGGGTAGGGGGAGAAGGCACAGAATCTGGACTGGGTGGTTTGTTTTCAAGTTTCATGAGCAAAATGCCCCAGAAACTTTCCTGTGAACTTTTTTAATCAGCCCCAATTAATTCTTTTCTTAAATAAATTCGTTTGGGTTCAACTACTCTGTATGGGGACATGGTCATAAAGTAGGCTTTCTCTTTCTAAAGAAAATATTTAGGTAATTATTTAACTCACCTTTGTGAAACAGATGAGAAAGATAGTAATGGGAAATTAGGGTACAGATAGAGTGTCAGTTTACCTTGGGAAACGTTATAAAGGGATTAGGCATGAGAGGCAGAAGAATCTGGGTTCAGAACACGAGTCTAGTTCTTAGGGCAAGCTATACCACATACAAAAAATGGCTTATATTTCTTAGGATGGTAGGCGTGGGACCAGGGAATTTGTCTCTGATGTCCTCCAACTACCTCTGGGTGTCTTACCTTGACTTTGGCAGTTCTCTGGAAGTCAGCCTCCTCCACTCCTGTACAAGCAACAACTTAAGCACCTTCATTTTCTACTATCTACCAACTCCCAGAACGCGGAACTCCATTATAGGCCTTTACATTACTATACTAACCTCAAAGCCTTTAAGTCTCTGATGTCTGATTCCTTAACTGTTGCTTTCATACCCTTTATGAGCTTTAGAGAAGAGGTTCCTGGCTAAGGTGACTCTCAGCCCTCAGTGGGCTGTGGCAAGAGACAGCTGATTCTGTCTCCTCAGCCCATCCTGGGACAGAACATCAGAGGGGCCTGTCCTTGGGCATAACACATTATGACTTTTCTCAGATTAAAGGAGAGAGAAGTGTCCTCACATGGGCTCTTGCTGAGGTCCTCAGCTGTGGGGAGACTTTGTAGCTCCATGGGGTAGACAGGTCGTAGACTACTGTACTCTCTCCAAGTTCTTTACCTCTCTGCCTTGGGGTGTCATTTGTTTGGAACAGGATTTCCCAAGGTTTCATCCAGCTCTAGACGTCTATCACTGTTCCCTGGGAATAGAAATCACTTTTGCAGACATACATTTGTGTGTGCCTCCTGTCCTCTGGAGCAGTGGTGCGGTGGCTTCTCGGTACAAATGTGCTCAGGAAGAGGCCAGTGCAAATTGCCTCTTCCAAAGAGTTACAGCCATCATTAGATTTCCATAAAGGCAGAGAGCAGCCTTGTTATTACTGCTTCTTAGTGTTTAACTTACTAAATACATTGATGGACTCGCATAGAATTCAATTAATAATACATAGAGGTTATAGAGATGCAAAGTGGCAGGCTTGGGTGTATTTTACAAGGCCCAAATTAAAAATGTCCTGAAAGATCAAGAAATCGATCTTGTGTTTATTGCTTATTATGTAGGACAAAAAGAACTAAGAATCATAGAGCACCTACCATACACTGGCTGTTGCTCTAGATGTCAGCGTGTCAGGTATTTAGACAGTAAATGTGGTCAGTGAGGCTCAGAGACAGCAAGTATCTTCCTTGTGTGGAAGAGCCAGAAAATAGGAGCAATAAACTGAAAGGAGAGGGATAATTCTACCTTCTTTTCCCTGGCTCAGAAACAAAGCCTGAGTTGACCAATTGTTTTCATATGCTTTCCAACGTACACTGTATTTCATAACCCATTTTGGTTCTCATAACATAATGAGCAATCAGTAAGAGCAACAATAATAATGCTTATTGAGTGTTCGAAGTGAGGCACTGTCTTTAGTATTTTTGCATCAATTAACCATTTATTCCTCACCACATTTTATGGGATCATAAATATTATTCTCATTTTCTGGATGAGGCAATAAAGACCCTGACAGTTTAAATGACTCAAGGCCACACTTCCAGAAAGCACTGCGACACAGTTATAAACCTAGTAAGGATGTCAGCTTGCTTTCAGAGCTTGTGCTCTTAACTGCTTGTCAGCACAGGTCCTACAGGATAATGACTATGATTCACCTCTGGCCAGGAGCCTTTGATGAACCAGGACTAAGTAAAGAACAAGGCTACAAAATATTCCTAACTTTGTAGGGGGAAAAGGCCAGGTTTAGAAGCAACTTGTTACATAGCCGTACTTGATTGTATAGGAAAAGACACATAAGCAGGAGACATGGACTTCTGCAAATGGTTTCTGGGCCACACCTAGCCAAGGAAGCATCTGGCTAAGTGGCAACGGTGCATCCCTGGGAGGATACAGGTGTACCTAAAGCATGCCTTCTCTAAAGAGCCCCAGTCTCTCTTTAGTGGCTATTATTCATGAATTTACTACATTTTCATGCTTTTAGCAATTAGCAACTTTTGGGATGAGGATATCTGAGTGTGTCATTGCATGTCTGATGTGGTACATCTTTTTATTTCTTCGAACTGACCTCTCTCAAGAACACAGGGCTTTTTCTGTTTTATTCTGGTGTTGAAGAAATTGGGGTTAGCCTGAAAACTATGGAGAAAATTCTGAAAGAAATCTCAGCTCTAGTTGTCCCTATCTTCCATCTCTGGGCCATGATTTATATATACTTTTTATATACTCTAAATTTTCACTATCATTCCTCACTGTCTTAGTAAGACACACTCCCAGCTCTTGTTCCAATGTACTTAAAGATTCGATAACTAAATTTCAGATTTTTTTTTAAGTGAGGCCAAGAGGCTTCATTTTTGAGTGGAGGTAGGTGGGAAGAAACTATGGGGCATAAAGAAGAAAGAGTAAGGAGCTGGGTGGCTGATCCTGCCTCCTGGGACCCCTTCTTACCTTTCATGGACCCGACCTCGCTCGTCCCCGAGGGTGACAGTCACTGTACAGTTTTTATTCAGGTCAAACTTTTCACTGTGTAAGTGATAATCTGGAGTCACCCATCCAACCCAGACACAGGAGGGGTCTTGCCCCGCGAAGATGCGGATGGCATAGTAGCATTGCTGTGGAGAGACGGTAGAGGGCAGATGAGAGTGGCTCCCCGTCGAGCGAGGGAGGGGGTTGGGAGGCGGAGAAGATGCAGTGGAGGATTGGCCCTCTCTGAAGAAGAAGCACACATGTTGAAGAGGTGTAGTACACTCAGCCTGCAGGAATGGTGAAATGGGGAGTCTGGCTTTCTAATTTTCTCCTTTCCTGCTTCACTTTAGTACCCAGAACAGCAAAAGATCCACCACCTGTTGGCAGAAAAATGCTGGAGATGAGAGCAGGAGATCTTATCAAGGTGACGTACAGTGACCTCATAGCAAGTTAGCATTGGGCCTTGACTGCCTTCTGGGTACCTGGCAGACCTGGGCTGGAAGTAGGGTGGGCACAGTCCCTGTCCTCAGAGGACAAGAGCCTTCTACAGAGAAGGCCAAAAAGCTTTTGTTGTTGATTAAAAAGGAGGGCTGCATCTGAGTGTGGTGGTGCACACATATAACCCCAGCACTTGGGAGGCTGAGGCAGGAGGATCTTTAGGAGTTCAAGACTAGCCTGGGCTACAGTGTGAGCTCGAGGCCAGCCTAGTCTAAGCAAGACCAGTCTAAGAAAAAGAAAAAAGGGGCTGCAAGCTGAGTCCAGTGGCACATACCTGTAATCTCAGAAGTCTGAGAAGCTAAATTAGGAGGATCACAAGTTGGAGTCTACGCTGGGCACATCAGTGACTTAGTGAGACGCTGCATCAAAGTTAATAAAAAATGCTAGGATGCAGCTTAGTGCAAAAAGAAGCTTTGAAAGAAAATTGAGACCTACTTCATGTGGCTGTCTGCTTACCCACAGTAGTTCCTGGTGAGAAAGGCCAGGTGATTTGTGAGGTCCATCACTATGTTACAGTAACAGTGAGGAGGGTGACTATTGCATCATTTTCTTTAGAACACCGAGTAGATTTATTCTTAATGAAGCAAGTCTTATGTAGTCTATGGAATTTTCTTGGGTATAAAAAAGGTGAGCCAGACAAAATCCAGGCTTGAGTGTAGGCACTGTCAGTAATTTCTCCTGTGAACTTGGACAGGTCATTTGTGCTTGCTCTGCATAATAGGGTGCACACCACCACCACCTATTTCACGGGACACAGATTAACTTCAAGTGACTTAAATGGAGACTAAATGAAAAGGTGGTGCCATATGCCCAGCACTGGATCCAGCTGTAGTGTGTGATTCGCTGCATCAAGAATCTTACTCCTAGTAAGGGAGTTCACCCATGAACTTCGGACTAACTTTACAGAGGGGAGCCATGCGTTTCATCCATACACATGCCTTTCTTTTCCTTTTCCTTTTCTCCCCAAGTGGTAAACAACAGTGAGAGAAAGGAAGGACTGCTTTCTAATTAGTGTCTAGCTGTGGAGAAGGGACCACAAGTGGCTTCCACCTTCTGGGCTAGTTTCCTGTTTCTTCTCGTTTGAGAGCTGTCAACATTACTTCTGAAATCACATAGGGACATGAGGGAGAAACTCAGGGGTGCCCACACAAAGGAGCAACAGAAAGATCTAATTGAAACCCCTTTAACTGATGTTTTCAGTCACAACTCACTGTGAGATCCCTGATGGCAAATGTGTACCAACTACAAAAAGATGCCCAATTAGGCCCAGGTAGAGCTTCTGCTTTGCACTGGATGAATCTCTTTCTTCTTCACATTTGAGAAATGCCACAGATGTATTCTGAAGCACCAAGATTGGTATTAAAATATACAGTAACTGGCAATTAGAGAGGAGCTCTAGACAGAATTTCACTGTAAAGGGCATATTCTAGACACAGCAAAGAATCAAATAATGAAAACCAGAACAGAATACATTTACTTACTGTTGTTGTAGGAGAGAGGATTTCTTGCATCTGTTTCCTGGAGGGAATATAGTCCATGTTTTAGTTGTGCAGTTGTATTGAGAACCCCACACTTCTTTCTTCTCTCTCTCTCTCTCTCTCTCTCTCTCTCTCTCTCTCTCTCTCTCTCTCTGGTCTACAGAGTGTTCAGGCTTTCACTACTAGATCGGACTCATAGTGACCCGCCTGGTTACAGCCTCCCAAGAGCTGGGATTGCACGAGAGTGCCACCATGCCCAGTCTCAATCGAGGTCTCAGTGCGCCCTGGGGGCAGGGCTGGGACCTGCTTGCAGGCACTTTAATCCACTGAGCTATTTGGTCCACACTTCTTTTTTGTATTTAGGTTTATTGGTACAATTCATTCAAGGGAATTTGAATGTGTACCTAATACTTCTCGGCTCCTCTTTTTTTTTCCCATTCACATCCCCCTTTTACAATCTCTTCTGCTTTCATTCACAGCACTTTCTTTTCTTGTTTTTTCTTTCCCTTTCCTTTTTTTTTTCTTCAGAACTGGGGATTGAACTCAGGCCCTTGTGCTTGCCAGGGAAGCACTTATTCCACTGAGCCATCTCCCCGGCCCCTCCCTTTTGAAGAGTGTTTTCCTATTTCACAATATATATTGTACATTATGTTCTTATTTAATTTTTTCAGTTTCTCATGCTGGAGAGATAATGTGATATTTATAAATGTGTATCCCATTTATTCCACTTATGATTGTGGTCTCAAGGTCCATCCATTTAGCTATAAATGTCTCAATTTTATCTTTCTTTATGGCTGAGTAATATTCCACTAAATAAAAAAAAACCTTTTTTATTCATTCATTGGTTGATGGGCATTTGTGCAAATCAGTGCAAAGATTCCTCAAAAAACAAAACAAAACAAAACTGGGGGGATTAGAGGTCTCATCTGACCTAGCTCTTCCCCTTCTGAATATCTCCCTAGATGAACTGAAAGCATCATACAGTGTTCTATGTACCCACGTACATAGTCACATAGTTTGTAATAGCTAAATATTGGAACCAATCCAAGAATCCCACGCTTTTGATAGGCAATTGATCTACCTTTAATGATCAAGGTAAATTTAGGCAGCTGGCTGCTTTATGTACACAAGTGATTGCAGTTGGCCTTGGGAATTGCTAGGTAGGGCTATAGCTTCCAGCTCCATCCCTTAGCATGGCTGGTAGGTTAGAGCTGGGGATGAGGATGGGTTGGTTGTAATAACATCAGTAGAGACACCTCTGTGCAGTTTATTCTGTTCTCTCAAACAGCTACTCTTGTTGAAAGCTTGGTAGACAGTGAAATACTATAAGAAATTGGAAGAAATAGCTCCAGATGGCAGACATATATCAGTGATTAAAAACAGACATCAAAGGAAAGAAAACAAAGAATATATTCTCTGTCAGGAAGGAAGCAGTCACATTACTCAATAGCCACAGAGCTGCAGGGCTTGACAATGTTCACAGGTATGAAAAAAAGCAGTTTTTGTTTCCAAAGTGTGTAATTTTACATCTCTTTCGTTTCGAACCTAGAAGGTAGGCAGCAAGAGGCTTTGCCTGGAGAGCTCTAGAAGAGCATACACCTCTGCATGTGACTCTCGTTGGCTTTCTTGGTCCCTTACCTGTGCAGGACACCAATGCACAACTCCATGTGCACCTGTATTCCCACAAGGCACACATTGATTTACCTGACTGAAGCAGAGAAAGCCCCACACACTGAGTTCTTCTTGCACTAAGGAGCAGTAAAGACTGAGCAGCAGCCAACATTGGAGCCAGCACAGTGGCCTCATCCTCACCTTTTCTGGAAAGCATCACTATCCAGACACGGACTGCGGCTGAAGGAGGAGTGGCACTCAACAGGCATGCTCAGGCGGCAGTAGATCATGTTGGCATTGCTATTTTGTGTGCCAAATGTCTTGTGCATCACCTTGAGGCACGGAGGGCTGTCCATGGTACCATCGATCCTCATGACCTGGAAACACCATGAGTCCTTACCTTGACACACCAGATGGCCTGACTGTCATCTTGTCCCTCTTCCTCTTGTCGACATAGGTAAAATTCAGCAAGGTGTTCTGCAAACTGTAAACATTGTCCCTGATGATAACCAAACTATGGTTCTCATCATCATTTAGGCCTTGTCAGATAAAAAAGAATACACCTGCTTTCAGCTATGGAAATTAAAGATTTAAGAACACATCCACTGGTTTCTTGAAAGGCAAAGTGTGGAAAACAAATATGGGGGGTGGGGGTAACAGTAGGGTGATGTGGTACGGTGTCCATAAAAGCTTACCTTCTATGACAGGGGCAAGTGGCTAAAAAGAAAATATTTCCAGTGATTTCTCTTGTCACTGGGCATGAGAACACCTAAAGGAGTGGGCAGCAGAAATCCCAAAACTCAAGAGGAGACATCTGAGCTCCTGCAGAGGGCACCTTCCCCTACCTAGTCCACTTCTCATTCTGCCTGAGAGCTGAGGATCCCCCAGCCTGCCTTCAATCCTGCTGGGAGTTTATAGTTCTGGGAACTGTGGCAGGGTGGGGTGGGCAGGAAAGCTCAAAGCTGGACTTCTGTAGTGTGTGTGGGTGTGTGTGGGGGTGCAGAGGGCAGACAAAGTAAACGGAGAAAATAGAAATAACTCTTAAAAATAACCCCAGCCTCCCCCTGCTCCTTAGTGAGTAGTTCTCACCCTGGAGTTCAGTGTGCTTCCATAATTGGGTATGGTTTGTTATTTTTCTGAATGGAGGCATCTAGATTCTATCAGTCTGCCAAAGAGCTTTCAAGATACCCAAAGCTTAAGGGCCACCATTCTGAAACGTAACAGTTGGAGAAGAACCAGAGATATAGCTGTCTCTGCTATTCAAGACTGCAAGGGACAGTGGAAGAGTAAAAGCTAATGCTTGGTATTTCCAGACTGGAGCGGGAGTTAAGGGAAATTGAGAGCTGAGTTAACGCAAGGTACAGAGTTGGGCACAAGCAACAGTGCAAGAAGATGCTCTGCTTAGCTTTCCACCAACAGTTTGGTTCCTGTGCTCGCCCCACAAAGCACTTATGGGCACGTGCAAAGTAGAGGCAAGCAGATGTAGAATCAGAGCCCACATTATGCTTCTCAAAATTTTTGTCTCCCCCGAGCTCCCCCTAAAAAGTGGGAGTTCCATAATCAACTATTACACCTCAGCCTAAATGTTGGAAATGGCACCTCAGAAATTAAACACAGCCTAAAAGATTGCAAGTTATAAGCATTTAAGAACACATATGTTCAGGGCATATGACCTTCAGTATGGGTATTGGACTTTTCAAAGAAAACAATGCCTAAGACATGCAGACACTGTGATTAAGTGAAAATATCAGTGTAGGAAAGTTGGAGAGAATCTAGGTGCTCTGATGTGGACCCTAACGTGCAAGGGGTCCTTTAGCTGCCCTCATGAAGGCACCTGCAATTGTGGCATTGGGAATGAGAGGTGGGAGATGGCTGGCAGCAGGGCAGGGACTTAGGCGATCAGCTGCTGCTGACGGAAGAATCGTAAGGAGCTCAGTGCCCTGCCGCCCCTGCACTGCCAGGCCACCCAGGGTGTCCAATGGTACCTCTATGTGTGGATGATCCCCCGGCACGTTGACAAATGTCGGGAGGCGCTTGCTGAACCACATCGCCACGTCTCGGTTCATGTTGACGGCAAAAGGCTCAAAGCCCTCTTGGAGGCCACACATCGTGTAAAACTTGAAGGTGCTGGCGTCTGTCCCAAGATTCATGCGGCCAATCTGAGACAGCCCCAGACAGCAGATGGGCACGAACCCTGCAGAATAAGGAGTCTTGCTTCAGCCTGCCCTAGCTGACCTGGTGTTTCCTTAAGAAATATGAATCCTAGTAAGGAAGGTGAGACATAAGGTTTTGTCTTTTTCTTGGCATATAAAATCAGCAAAAGGAGGCCATCCAAAGACTCCCACTGTTCTTGGTAGATGGGGAAGAAAAGTGAGCTTTGTGCAAACTGATTAGGGAAAAATGATCATCCTTTTCAGATTCTTTTTCTTCTTTTTTTAAACAGTGAAGTAATTAATTTTTTGTTTCTTTATTTGTTATAAGGTCTCACCACACAGCTCAGACTCATAGTGATCCTCTTGTCTCAACCTCCCCAGTGCTGGGATTACAGGTAGGTGCCACCACGCCCAGTTTCAGTGGCCAGCACAATGTACCTAGGGTGGGGCTGGCAGGGCATGTGGTACTGGGAATTGAACCCAGGTCCTTGTGCTTGTCAGGCAGGCACTTAGACTGCTGAGCTACCCCCTCCCCAGCCCCTCAGATTATTCTTAATCTGCAAATAAACTTCAACTAGAAAAGTTAAACCAGTAAGAGGAAAAAGTGGAATTCTTTGTCTATGTCTTATTTAAAAGTTGGCTTCAGTTCTTCTGAAATTTTAAATACTACCCAAACCAAAGCAATATGACAGACCTAAAGCACGATTTAGCAGATTTTGCCACAAAAACATGTAATTATGTGAGATAATGGGTGTATAAAGTTTTCATGGTAGTAACCCTTTTTATGTTTCGTGACATTATATCATATACCCTAAATATACATAATAGAGTGGTTTTTTTTTAAGAAAGAAGGAATTGGAGCAAATTGCTTAAGTTTGTCAGGCTTCAGCATCCTCACCCGTGAAGCAAGGGTCCCAGCGGTCCTTCCCATGGTCAGAGCTGGGCGTGGCAGGTGGCACTCTGGTTCTGCTGGCTTATGTACTCCCATCTTCCGTGCCCACTGTGCTCACCCTAACAGAGAGTGCAGGTTCCCCCCAAGAGCTAGGAAACCCCTCTTGTCCTTCCTAAAGTCACTACGTCTCTCCCTACTCACTTCTGTATCCTGATCCTGTTTAAAAATTGCCATTCAGAACAGACCCAAGCAGTTGGAAATGCTTGGCACTTTTGCCTGTGGGTTATTTATAAATCATAATTGTGGACCAACAAATCAGCAAGGCAGGGAAAGCACTAATTATCTTGGGTTTGGGAGGATGCAGGAGGTGGGCAGAGGACAGCAGGAGCTGCACAAAGGCACAGCTCTTGGGCCACCAGCGAGAGCAGAAGTTGGATGCACACAGGAAGCTGGTTCCACTGCAAGACAGGAGTGCTCCTCTTGGGAAATTTTTAAAATTACTTATTTATTTATTTATTCATTTATTTGGTACAAGATCTCGCTACACAGCTCAGACTCATAGTGATACTCCTGTCTCAGCCTCCCCAGCACTGGGATTACAGGTATGTTCCACGATGCCTGGTTTCAGTGGCCAGCATGGTGCACCCAGGGTTCTGCGGCTGGCATAGCATGCTATACCAGGAATTGAACCCAGGTCCCTGTGCTTGCTGGGCAGGTGCTTAGATTGCTGAGCTATCTTCCCAGACCCTCTTCTCAGGAAATTTAGAGGTTATTTGTAGGAACTCAACAGTGAGAGCTTTCATTCATAGACACCAAGGTCAAAACACTTTCTTCCCAGTGGGAATACTTCTCCATTACCTAAGGCATGAAGTTCCTGTACATAAATAATAAGTGTTCAGAGAGTGAGTCTCTCCCACACTAGTTGGTTAGCTTCAGAAGCTGCAGACTCACTTAGGACACATGCTTAACAGCATTTCTAAATAAGAGAGAACTTTAACACAACCCTGCTATAACGACAGTGACTTCTGTGCAAAGACTTTTCCTCTCAAGAACAGCTGGACGGTTTGCTAGCCTTGCCCCTCCAGAGAGCAGGTGAGCTGGCTCCTGGCAAGGCACCACTCACACTGCATTTAGAGCTCTTGGATGCCTCTGCATTTTTGTGCTAGGCCCTAGGATGAATTAGGCCTTCATATTTTTATAGTCGGAGATTTTTTATAAATAATTTGACTATAGTATAGAATAAGGAGTCAATGTTAACAAAATTTATTGTGTCCTTATTTGTGACAGAGAGCTCTATTATGTGCTGCATGACAAGAAGTCAAAGAAGAAACTCTTTCAATCACAAGAAGCTGAGAGAAATGGAGACCAAGAGGAGAACAAAAACAGTGTTATGGCTTGCATGTACACTTATGTCCCCCAAAAGCTTCATGTGGTCACAGGTGGGACTTTTCAGCAGTGGCTGGGTCTACAGTGTATGATGCTGGGACTGAGGGTGTGTGATTGCAAAGTTAGTCCCCTGAGTGGTTTGGCACAGTTCTGGGAGTACAGCATGGGGCAGCCCTCACTAGGCAGAATGCAAGACAGAAAGAGGGCTGCTTTGTCACTGCTTGAGGCTTGGTGCTTTGCTGCTTTGTTACCTTCTGCCTGCCATGAGCTGGTTTTCTTCTGTAGTGCCCTTCTGCCATGCTGCCCTGCTTAGGAGTCAGCTGCCTATAAACTGAAAGCTCTACAAACTCTGAGAAAAATAAGAAAAGGGAGTAATTTTTTCCCTGTAAACTATCATTCCAAAGCAGTATCTTGGTCATTATGCTAAGGAACACCACGGCTCTTGTACTTTTATCTTAGAGCTACATCACGAAACAGTCCAGTCTTGACATGCACAGAGAACAGATTGTCTTAAGAAAGTGTTTCTCCTCTTTTATTCTCTGTAAGTCCAAATGGTAGGGCAAGAGAACAGCAGGTGGAAAAGCCTGAGTGGGAAGTAACAACAAGCACAAACCTTGGGACATCGGAATAGCTTACTAGTACAAACCCATTGACAATGCAAAGGGAGAAAAATAACACTTGTATAGAGCTTTTTTCTAAGAAACTTGGGCTCCTCATCATTACTAAGTGTTGGCAGAAGGGGAAACATTTTAGTGAGGATAAAAGCAAAGATTTGAAGAGTTAACAGTCTTGCTCATGTTCACAAAAAGGGCAAGTGAGAATAAAATGTGACACCCCACACCCTATGAGCCACAGGCTAGCTGCCACACAGTGGGTATAAGAGGAAGAGAATGTTAGAGGGGATAAATACCCCAGATTTAAACAGCAGCCTTGTCTCAGGGTACTGTACTCATCACAGAGTGAGGTGTTGTCCCTGTAGGACTGTTGTCTCTGTAGGAGAGAGCTGAACACAGCAGGGAACAGCCAGGGATACAAAAGCAATGGGAGATGAGAATAGTGGTGATCTGAGGACTCTGGGTGAATAGCGGGGCAGATCTGTGAAGCAAGAGAAGAGAGACTGAACCCAAAGTTTGAGCCAGAAAAGAGAAACATTATCTAAAAGGCAGAGGAATGACAAACTTCCATAAGACTCCAACATGTTCTCCTGGGAAGATTTGATTACTGGGTACACTGAGTAAGTCCTCCTCACCTGGTCAAAAGGCTCTAGCTAATGATCTCTCTATTTCTTTACTCAATGTATTTACATTTCAGGTAACTTCATAACTCTGTGTGATAGCTTTCAGGGAGCACAATGACATAATAAGCTACTAGTACATGTGATTATGCTCACATCTTTGAAGAAGTTTGAGAATATGCAAATGAAATTATTTTGAGGCAAGACATAAGGTTCTGCCCCTTAGGAAAGGAACAGCAAAAACACATGTGCTTAAATTTTGCAGAGAGTGCCAGGCTCTGTTAAAGTTGGTGTTACAAGGTCACATACCAGTTTCATGATTAAGAAGGGGCATTGCAAGGCAGAAACCTTTTTATAGTTTAGCAGCCTGGAAAGAAAGCAGTTGCTTAGAAATCCAAACGATGGATCCATTTTGTCTTTCTTTCTTTCCTTCTTTCCTTCCTTTCCTTTTTCTGTATTTAGGGCAGGGTCTACGGGGTGTTCAGGGTCTCACTGTGTAGATCAGACTCGTAGTGGTTCTCCTGTTTATAGCCTCCCAAGTCCTGGGATTACAAGAGCGCGCCACCATGCCCAGTCTCGATCGCTGGCTCAGTGTGCCCTGTGGGTGGGGCCATCAGGGCAGGCTGGGGATCGAACCTCAGGCGTCTGTGCTCTGTCTAAGCAAGTGCTTTAGTGTGCTGAGCTATCAAGTCGGACCTCGGATCCATTTTCATTCTGTTTCAAACTTAGGAAAGGCATGAAGGGGTGGTTAGACCATTTTTTTTTTTTTTTAATGTGTTTAGTATAGGGTCTACAGGGTTTCACTACACAGATCAGACTCGTAGTGATCCTTCCTGTTTTTTAGCTTCCCAAGCGCTGGGATTACAGGTGCGCGCCACCACGCCCATTCTCAGCGTGCCCCGGGGGCGCGGCCGGCATGGTAGGCCGGGGATCGAACCCCCAGCCCCTGTGTCTGCCTAGGCAGGCTTTTTAATCTGCTGAGCTCTCTGGCCAGCCCTTACATCATTCTTGAGCTGTTTTTCAGGTTCCCAACATGGCAGCACATGTCTTACTCCTTTATAGTTCCTAAGCCTCCAGCAAATGGAGTTCAGGGATACCTATGACAGCCAGAGCCTTAGAGAAAACACAATAAACAAGAGGCCAGGTTTTCCCGCCACAGATACTTTCTGAAGTACAGCCTCCATTTGGAGAGAGATGGGTGGGACCTCTTGGCGGCAGTGTGCGCGCGCATGCAGAAGGCTTCTTACAAACACATTTCATATTCTGCCTTCTGAAGAAGTGCTGACAGAGCTGGGAGCTGTTAAATTGGATTGGCTAATGGGCCAGAATGGTGGGTGTGAAGGTGGCCCCCGCTGATAGCAAAGCAGGTGTGGGAGACAGGGAAATTTCTCAGGGGACAGCAGCAAAGTCTCTCCTAGACGTCAGAACTCAAAGTCCAGTAGGCTGTTGAGAATCATACCTTCTTTCCTTTAAATGGAGGAAGAGAAGGCTGAGAAAAAACCTTCATCATGTAGGATCTTAAACTCCTGGACTCCTTCAGGTGACACAGGCAGCTGTGATGGCCCAGACCAGGGACCAAAGTAAAGAATAATGATTCAAAAAATCTAATGAGGCTTATACAAAGATATTATCCAGGATGCAGGAGATGGAGATGACAACTAAACTCAGAGAGCAAACCAGCCCTAATGTCTGTCCTTCATCCTTCCCTCAATGGGCTGAGAACTGCCTGCTGAGATAATGGCCCAAAACAAAGCTGACAAGCTGGTGACCAGAAGAGCACAGCATATAGGGCATTATGCCTTATGGTCAGGTTACAAGGCTTAAAATGTTTATTTTCAACAGATGACATTCCTATCAACATAGGGCAAGAACACAGATAGTAGGTGGTTATTCCAGGCCTCTGGATATTGATGTCCAAGAATGGCACATCAGCTTCCTTTTAGCTGCCCTTTGCCAACTCCTGAGCTATCAGAGAATCCTAAGACCCTTCCACTTTGTGTTCTTAAAGTGTGATACAATGCCACAGTATAATGCAGGAACATACTGCACTACAATTTTATTCTAGCATAGCTTCCTAATAATAGACTTTGTTATTCTAAAAGTCCAATCATGTTTCTGTACACAAAAGGACTATAAGGCATCTTTTTCTTTATATCATAGATGAGCTCTGAAAGCAGAGCGACCCAGGGTCATCTCTCCTTTATAGTCTTTTCCTACTCAAACCCTATAAAAGTGCTCCGTCTCTTGGAGGGTGAAATCTAAGGACACTTAGCCCAGAGCAGGCAACAGTTTCTTCAGTAAGAGGACTGAGACTTGGTATTTGAAATTATGGTCTATGCAATGATGGCAAACTTTTTAGAACTTTCACCGGCAGAAGCGAGCCAGGGTCTGTGCACCATAGGCTTGCCACCTCTGGCCTAGAGCTTATCTACCTTTCCAGCACAACTGCAAATCCAAATCTTCCATGCCTCTGCTGTTACACTCTCTCTTGAAGTTTCCTATGCCACTCTATTGACATCATTTCTTGGGTAGACACTTCTAAGAGGTAGACATTCTGTACCCTTAATTTAATGTTCAATTCAAATCCGATTCTTACATTAATTCTGCCTTAATCACTTGCTATTTACAACTCTCTGGCTTTCCTTATTATTCAGTCACCTTTTCATATTTCATCTTATTTTTCTAAAACTGCAAAACTGGGCTGGGGAGATAGCTCAGTAGAATAAGTGCCTTCCTGGTGAGCACAGGGTCCTAAATTCAATCCCCAATATGGAAAAAGAACAACAACAGAAAACAAAAACAAAAACAAAAACCTAGCCTTAGAACACTGGTCCTACTTGCATTAGCACATGCTTGAGGTCGGTGCTCCTCAGATTAAAGATGCACAAGCCATGGGTGTCTCTGCTCAGGATGCAGGTTCTGGATGTAGTCTGCTGCAGGCCAATATTTTGCATTTCTAACAAAAGATCACACTTTGGGCATCAAGGCTTTAGGCTTTACAAAGTTCTCTTCACTGCACAGCATACAAGATTCTTACTTCCTCTTTATAGCTGAACCAAAGATGAAGAGATGTATAATCTCATCTAGTTCACATGGCAATAAAGGCAGTACAGGTTTTGGGACTCTTTCTACGGCAGGACTACTTTCCCTGGGCAGCAGCTGGATCTTCTAGCTCTTCATTATCCTCTGGCTTTAACAAGCAGCACTGTACTGAGTGGTCATCTGTGCAGCACCTCTTGGTCTTCTCGGCTGCTCTGGAGCATCCACCTGCAGAGGTCCCGCTTCTTTGCCTCCGAGCAGCACACAGCTGCTCCCTACACTGGCAAACGCTTTTCATCTGTCTCTTAAAGGGGGTTTTCTTAAACATTTGACTTTAAATCTCTTTGAAAAGTATAAAAATTTGACCCCACCTGCTTTTAGTCATTCTCTTTCTCTAGGAAAATGAGCTGCAACTTTCCTATTTTCCTAAATATTTGGTGCTTAGAAAAATCATTAAAGCTCTTAGAAGGTACAGTTAGATATGTATGCTGTAGATAAGGTGCATGTTGTAAAAAGTATACAAGTCATTTATAAAACTAAAAACAATGTAAATAAACAATATTTCTGTAATATATATATGGTTCCATCTATGTGTGCTCATTTGCTTGTGAAGCTTTTTAGGCACAGGCTGTTTCTTTCTGTAAGGTCTCAGGAATCCAGAATTAAAAGGAGCTCTAATAATTTAGAGTGGGGATACGAGGAAAAAGAGGTTAAAGTCAACTAATGTGTCACAGATGGGCAGGGGAAATGGCAGGCTGAGGGTCTGAGCCCGGGACCCCTCCCTGGGGCAGCAGCTCCTCCTATACCAAGCACGGGATGTGCACACTAGAAAAGTGAAGTCACCATCGCTGAACTAAATGCCTGGGATTTTCTGCATCTGTCCTCCATGGTGGTGTAGCTGAAGAGAGGGAAACCTAAGGCAGGCAAGAGAGCTGCACTGAAAGCTGCAGTTTGATAGCAGCAAGCCTTGTTGTCTAGGGCCCTTTCCCCCTCTTGCCAACAATCTTATGTGCTTCTTGTGTACTATGTGGACAGCAAGTCATAGGCTGTGGCTGCTTTTCCATGCAGCTGGAAGCACTGCTCTGGTTGCAGGCTATGCATGACCATTTGGTTGCACAGTTTGAGTTTAAAAATAAATCATATTTTCATCCAAGAGAACAGCTAAATCTAATTTTATATTTCAGGCATTCTCATCAAAGCATCAAGTTCAAGTACACACACACTGCAGACTGATAATTTACATTGGAATAGAAGGATAATTCTTTTTTTTTTTTTTTTTTAGGTACCAGGGATTGAACTCAGGACCTTGCCCTTGCCAGGCAAGTACTTATTCTACTGCGCCATCTCCTCAGCCCTAAGAAGGATAATTCTTTAATTTGCTGATTTTCTTTGCTGCCAAGGACATTAGTCCTGACACAATTTGCATTGTCTTTATGATACTAGGAAACTTGGGAACCTGTGAATGATGAGAGGCAGGGTAGGAAACTAGAGGAGAACATTTCTGTTCATCCTGGATGCCAAGAATCTTTTATGCTGTGCACACCAGCTATCACTGTTGTTTTTCTTGATTTATCAATAATGTTAGTATAAGGGCTAGTCTTGGGCATTTGAGTTTCAAATTTGCAAAGGCCAGTGTAACCTGAATAGGGAGGTTAAAAAGGCTCACTAACTTTCCCTGGGGCTTTCTTCAAATGCATGGAGTTGGACTGCAGGCAGGATGTAGACTTACCATTCTCAATCTCATAGTCAGCGAAGGCAAGTTCAGACCCTTTGCTGGTGATCAGCAGCTCCCCATTCAGCGTGAAGATCATTGAGGCGTCCTCCAGGTTAATCATACATCCAACCACATCTCCTGGCTGCCAGGTTCTCCCAAAATACCCGCTGCCTTGATGCCAGCGCTGGCCCTATAAAACAAGATGCCAGGGCTTAGAGAACTAGCACTCCTGAAAGCCCTGAAGGCCCTGATGGTGGAGAAATGAACACAACACAGTGTCAACTGGAAGTGGTAGATGCTTTTGTAAGACTCAGCTCTTCCCATGGATATCTTATAGGGAGGATTTCTGTCTCATTGGAGAATGAAACCATGACACACGCGATGAGGACATTGCCTGAGTCTCATGACTCTCATTTAGTCAGGTATCCTGACCACCCAGATTCTAGGGAAAATTGGGAAGTTTTCACAAATACTGGCTGCATAGAGATCAGTGAGTTGCCTCTGGAATGGAATCAATGGGTTTAAGTGAGGAATGGATATAGAGGTGTTTACAGAAAGGGTTTGGGTCTATAAACCTGTCTACTATCAGAGCAAAACCATAATCCTCAGTTGTTCACTTAATGTCTATTGGGAAGTGGTGGTGGTCACTCCCTTTGAAGGCTAAGATGTAGGCTTTTAGCCTCCATGCAACATTTGGAGAGGGCATCTGGGACAGAGGGCAAGTGCTCACTGCATACTCACTCTGCTGCCTTCAAACACAAAGGCTTGGTCGTCAGCCCCCAGCTCAACGTCCGGCCGGCAGCCTGGCCTGGCCCAGCCAACCCGCATGTCTCCTCCAGTTACCACTTCAAACTCAAAATACCACTTTCCAGATCTCACTGCGTAAGACCGCTCGACCCGGAAAAATCGAATCTTGTCTATACTGACTTTCTCTATAGCTGGATCAGCTGTTGTGAGAAGGAAAGTGAGTTGAAGGTGGGGTGGGGAGAGAAAAACAGACTTTTAATAATTAAGTAGCATTCTCTAAAGAACTTGATGATAACAAAGAGGGCCACACATCTCCCACCATCCAACGCCGCACTCTGAAGATAGCATATCAACATCATACCATAAAAACTATACAGGCTGCTGTTTAATGAGCAATAACTTGGTAACAGATCATTTAGGCACTTTGTCACAATAATCTTGTGGGATTGGAATGGAAAAGCCTTGGAAAAGTTAAATTGTTTATTTAAAGTCACAGAGCCCATAAATTGAGGCTCAAGGACCTGAATCCAAGTCTTACTCCAAAGCCTTCCTATGAATTATTTATAGTGCACCTGTGGCTTAGGATACTTCTTGAGGGAAGGGACAACAATGGCAGGTTTGTCAATTATAATCTGATTTATTTTTCAAATTCTACAAACTACAGTATATGATTTTAGTTAAAGTTTTAGCATAGTGCTTATTATTGCCCATGTGCATTTAAATGGTCATTGATTACAGCTCTTAATTTTGAAAGATCTTTGAAAACATACCCAGGTAAAGTATTACTAAGTATTTCAGATGCTATCCAATGGGCATTGGTAGTCAACATTATGGAAGAAAAGTTAATATGTGGGTGATTTTCTTTTTCTTCTTTTTTAAAAATGTACTTGGATACCTCCCAGACCTAGAAAAGTCATTCCTCAAATTTATTTGGAACCAGAAGAGACCTAGAATAGCAAAGGCAATCCTGGCCAACAAGGACAGGGCAGGAGGCATTACAATTCTTGACTTGAAATTATACTACAAAGCTACTGTGATAAAATCAGCATGGTATTGGAAACAAAATAGACTTGAGGATCAATCGAATAGATTAGAAGATGCAGAGGCCTCTATGAACACACTAAGACACCAGATCTTTGACAAAGGAGCCAAAAACACTTACTGGAAGAAAGATAGCTTCTTTAACAAATGGTGCTGGAAAAATTGGCTCTCTACGTGCTGAAAACTAAAACTTGACCCACCCAGATCTATCACCAGGCACTAAGCTAAAGTCAAAATGGATTAAAGATCTAAACACTAAAACAGAAACACACAGGGGTAGGCAAAGAGTTCATGAACAAAAATCAAATTGCATGGGAAATACTTGAAAGAATCAACAACTTTCTCTTACTGAGAAGTTTTCGCACATCAAAAAAAATTACCAACAAAGTGAAAAGACATCCCACAAATTTTGAAAAAAATTTTAACTTACAAGCACTCAAACAAAGATCTGCTCTCTAGAGTTTATAAAGAACTAAAAAACATTAGGGCCCCTAAATTTAAAGACCCAATCCAGAAATGGGCATCCAAGATGAACACACACTTCTCAGAGGATGAGATTAAAGATGTGCACAAATATATGAAAAAATACTCCACATCACTAGCCATCTATAAAATGCAAATTAAAACAACACTGAGATACTACTTCACCCCAGAAAGAATGGCTATCATAAAGAAATCAATCACAGTTTCTGACACTGCCAGTCAAGCGGAAGACCCAATACTATTATGGACTACTGGACTCTTTTAGAATATTTTGCTGAGTTAACACACCTATAATATTCAAATGACAGAGCTAAACAAAAAAAGGGGATACAGATGAATGTCCAATTTATATCTGTGTATTCAAAATGGTTAGGATAGATATATAGTTACATTCTCTTAATGAATAGAGGGATTTGTTCTAATAGTGTTTGTAAATAGGATATCATGTCTGCCATCTTATACAGCAAATAACCACTAGGAAGAGAGTATGCAATGTGTTAATTATTGAAACTGTCCTACCAATTTGATTTGAAACTGTCTCATTGCTATTTGTCTCTCAATAAAATTATGGAAAAAAGAGAAATCAACAACAAATGTTGGAAAGGTTGTGGGGAAAAGGGAACCCTTATCCACTGCTGGTGGGAATGTAGACTGGTACAAACATTATGGAAATCAGTGTGGAGACTCCCTTTTAAGCCAGCTATTCCTCTACTGGGAATTTTCCCAGAGGAACTGAAAATGTCATATCATAGTGATATATGTGTACCTATGTTTATAGCAGCACAATTTGTGATAGCCAAATCTTGGAACCAACCAAGATGCGCATCACATGAGGAATGGTTGAAAAAGATGTGGTATTTTTATACAATGGAGTATTATTCAGCTATAAAGAATGATGAACTTGAAGCATTTATATTTAAGTGGATGCTGCTTGAAGATATACTCATAAGTGAAATAAACCAGACCCACATGTGTAAATATCATTTAGTCTCCCTAGTTTAAGAAGTCAAAAGAAGAAATACAAATAGAAAGTATAACACAATTAAAGGGAAATAAAAACTTGAGGATTGGGCAGTGAGGAGAGGGTAAGGAGAAAGGCTGGGAAGCATGACAGGGGCAAAGCCATATATTCATACACACAATATGGGCAAGGCAATGATCCTGAGAAACATCAGCAGGTTTTTGAAACTAGAAATTAATTGGTAGGATTCTCACCCTGACTAACTATACATGCTGATATCTGTGAATCAAGCAACTGCACTGAAGATAGCAGTGTGTAATAGAAGGGTCATGCTTGGAATGTCTGCCATTCTGGTCTTCTAAATGCGTACTTCTTGTCATGACATACCAATTATTACCATACTGTCTCTCAAGTAAATGTTTTTTTTTTTAAATGGGTAATAAATGAAAAAAAGACAGAAGAGAGAAAAAAAATGTTAGAGGACTGTCCTGCTGCAATGCTATATATGGTTAGATTTCTAAATCTCTGTGTAAAAATATGTAAATGTTTATTCATATTCTTTGAATATTTTTGATTTAAAAAAATTTATCTCCATATTCTGTAGGGACTTAAAATTTAACATATCAATACTTGATGGAAAATACCTGTTCCATGTTATGCCTAAGATATTTGGTATTCAGACAGATAGTGAAGTTAAACCCAACTGCATATGTAGCTTCTCTTCTAGAGGGTTAATAACCTAAGTTTTCAGACCAAAAATTAGAGAAATAGAAGGGTTGCAAGGACAGCCAACATTTTGGCCCTAGCCTTTCAAGGTTGTGAAGACTCAGGACATAGGAGAACCTGTACTGTAAAAACATGTAACTCAGTTATGTCCCAAATTTTCTGATCAAGAGGATTATGGGGCCACAGAGCAATATGATCGATGATGTACAGTGTTCCTAAGGAGAGTCACAGAGAGAGAAAACATTCTCTGAGGCTTTCACAGAGAGCAAATTGGTCAAGCAATAGCTGTGACTCATCCACATGGCTGACACTGATAAAGGATCTGCAAACTGCAGAATAGGGTTACAGGACAAATCCTGAGGATACTTGACTGACCTTATCAGATACAAAAGTTATATTTATTGTTATATAGTTCTTGCTTTATCTTGGTCTTAATCATCCAGCAGAAAAGTATAAAAATGAGATAAATAAAGTAAAGCCATATTAATATGCTGAGCTGTGAAAGGCTCAAGTCGACAACTTCTGCAGATCACCTACTACTATTGTGGACTGCTGGACTGTGTTGGATTGTTTTGCTGAATTCATGCACCTGTAGTATTTAGATGCCAGTGGAATATCCATCTCTGATAGGGCTAAACAAAAAAAGGGGATAGAAAGGAAGGTCCATTCTGTATCTGTATATACAGAATAGTTAAGATAAATATACATCTATTTTTGCTTAAATCAATGAGAAGAAAGATTTGTACTAATAGTGCTTGGACAGGATATCTTGTCTGTATCTTGTACTATGGATAACCACTAAGAAGATACCAATGTACAATGTATTAATGATTGAAAATGTCTTATTAATCAGTTTTGAAATGGTCTCATTGCTATTTGTTTCTCAATGAAATAAAGTAAAAAAATGTATTCGGTACAGGATCTCACTACGCAGCTCAGACTCATAGTGATCCTCCTGTTTTCAGCCTCCCCGGCACTGGGATTACAGGCCTGCACCACCACAGCTGGGTTTGGTGGATGGCTCAGCACGCTTGGAGGTGGGGCTGGCATGGGATGTAGTGCTCAGGGACCAAACCCTGGTTCTTACACTTGCCTAAGCAGGTGCTTAGGCCATTGAGCTATCTTGCCAGCCCAATATGCTGGTGATTTTTAGTCAATGTTGGACTTTAACTTGGAGCTGTGATTGCCTTATTCAAAAGTAAGCTGGTATTTACACTCAGTGAGCATAATAGAAGTAAAGGTGTCTTGGTTTTATAGCCAGTTATCCTGAGGAATTTATCTTCTTTAGAAGATAATGAGTTTCCTGTGGGGTTGGGCCACAGATATGGTCACTGCAGAAACACGTGGAATGGGGCAATGCTTTGTAGCAACTGTGGTTCCTTTCCCCTTTTAAAACACATGTTCAAATGTGTCACCTCTAAATACACAAGTTAGACCTATTTAAAATTAGTATTTCACCAGAATAGACTCTGTTTAGTAAATTGGGGCTATAGTGAGTGCACCCTCCAGGCTCATTACCAAGTTCTTGGTCTGACGGCTCAATGTTATACCCATAGCCAACGAACGTCCGGATGGCTTCCCGCAGGCTATCCCTGTTTGACTTCTTGGTACGCTCATCCAGCAATGCATATGGCACCAGACGGGGATTTCTTTTGTTCTTCAAATCCTATAGAAAGCCCAAGGAGAAAGGTGTCAGGGAAACATGTTTCAGTTTACAAGCAGCTCATCCTACTCACAGCTCCTGGCTTCCTCTTGCTAGTCTATTAGCCCTTCCCTAAGCACCTATTTGCTGTCCCTCTGCAGGATGGATGATCATAAATAGAAAAAAAATTTACTAATGCTCAAAGCTGACATTAAAGAAGCACGTATTAACAATGCCAGGCTGCAAATAAAAAGAAGTGCCATTAACCTGGCCAGTAAACCTCCCTTGCCAAGGCACAGCAGGTGGGATTTGCATAAATATTCCCTTATGGAAACTCATGCCACCATTCAAACCATAAAGACCCACTTCCATTCAGCAGCCTCTGAAGAAGTCTTTATAGAGAAAGGTAGCAGAGCTAGAATATGTCTGTTTCACTGCAAAAGACACACATCTCAAGTAGAATCCTCCTCAGTTCCTTAAGGTACAGCTGCAGAAAAAGTCACTCAAATTCCCTACATGCTGTTTAAATCAGTCTCCATGGTTTCTACAGTTACCCTCTTTCTGGCTTCCAAAAGCATGCAAATTTGGAGGTTCAGATATGAATGGACTCATGTCCACACAAACTTTCCTGATATTCCCCTTACCATTGCTGATAAGTAAGATGAGAGAAGTATTTTAAGGAAAGAGGTATGTCAGAGGCTTGGTGCTGAGCCTTAGTTCCAATCTCTGCCCAATGCCTTGTCTTTGCTTGGCTTGGCTGTTTTGTTGCTTTCTGTAGCAGCTAAGAGCTACACTCAGGAATCTCTGGCTCAATAGAATGAGGTAATGGAGCACAGACTTCAAGCCACTGTGGTTTGTACCCTTCCTAGGAGTTTTCTCTTCTTTTCACACTCACAGGCGATATTTGGGCCAACTTGGACAAACTGCTAATATGTGACATTAATTTGTGTGAGCCTTCTATTGACCTTGGAGAGTGACATGAAAGCTGAACTCTCTGGAATGTGGCATGTGGGAGAATGAACTCATGCAGCTGGTGGATGCCTATACAAAGTGGTACAAAATGTGAGTCAATCCTTAACACAGGGAAGGGTAAACGTCCATTTCTACAAAATTGGAATTATGCCCAGAGTCACTGTCAGTGTGACCATTACAAATTCCATTCAGCCCATGATTCTATAAATAATAAAAACACTGCAGAATGAGAGATGGAGTGCAAGGGCAACTTTTATCTTCCAAAATAACACCCTCTGAAGCAAAATGGCATTTTGATGGATGATCACATCCCCTAATTTTTCCAGCATGTCTGAGCCAGTGCCTCTTACCTGTTGAATGCCATAGGTCCATCCTTGTTTTATTCTGTCTTTTGCCCAGACATTATGTGCATTTTCTGCCAGCTTATCCACTAAAATTTCTTGAGGAGGTAACAGTTTCACATCAGACAAATCCAAAGGTGCTGGCTTATAGCCATTGGTCATCATGTAGCTACAAGCATGTGCAAAAGGACACACATATTTTAACAGGTCTGTGCAATTTTCCTATTCTAGATTTTAGATCAAGATCACCTCAAGGGAACTGAAGCTGTAGTCAGAAGTTTCCCTCTTTGGTAGGAGATTGTTGAGTTCTATTTCAAGTCCATAAAGGAAGCTTTTACTCTACCATTGTCCTAGCCAATGCATAGCACAGATTTCACATATACTTGGTAGGTGCTTTACACAAGCTATATCTCCAGACCCAATGGCACAGATTTTAGAGGAGACTGTTGGAAAAATAGATGATAATTGCAAAGCCATCCTTATTGCTAAGAAAACTATGTATATCCTATGAATGATGGGCACATTCACCATTTTATGACATTACTGTGGAAGGGTCTTCATCCTATCCAAGAACACAAAATGTTAAAACCAGATCAGCAAAGACTAGAGCTTGAGTCATTATTTTTGGAAAAATAAGCCATCAAAGAATGGTTACTCAGTCTTAGAAAGCTAAAGCTTTTGTTCTGAAGGTAAAACAAAACAAAAAAATTATGACCATACAGAAATTGTGAGCTCAAAATGACCATAGTGCCAGTTAACTGTCCAGTTCTGAAGCCATAGTCTCAGATGTTTGTAATCTGACAGGTAATGTAAAGACATGGAAGAATTTTTTTTTTTATTTTTTATTATTTATTTATGTGTGTGTGTGTGTGTGTGTGTGTGGCCAGCTCAGCCCACCAGGGGGCGGGGCTGGCTGACATGTGGTGCTGGGGGGTTGAACCGCGGTCCCTTTGCTTTGCTAAGCTTGTTCTAAGTAGGTGCTTTAGACCACTGAGCCATCTCACCAGCCCAAGAGAATTTTTGTTTTTGTTTTTGTTTTTGCAGAACCGGGGATTGAACTCAGATCCTTGCATTTGCCAGTCAAGCGCTTATCCTACTGAGCCATCTCCCCAGCCCGACATGGAAGAATTTAACAGCGTCCAGAAGATAGATCATACGAGTGGAGAGGGCAGGGCACACTGTGAAGTGACTCACTGGAGTGCAGCAGATCACAGCCATGTGCAAATGTGAGTCCAGGAATGCCCATCACCCCAGATGTTGGCCAGAACCTAAACTGATAGACCAGGGATCATTCTATTCAGCAATCTGAGCAGCATGAAATATAGAGTGTGCTGTAGGCATAAGACAGGGCTCTGTATCTGTCTTCTCAGAATGCATGCTCCTGGGTAGTCAGGACGCACTAGCCATCTCTCAAACATGCTTTTCTTTGCATCAGGAGCTATGTGTAAGAATGGAGCCTGGCACCTGGGAGCTTGAAAAGAAAGGCGGAGAAGATGAGCATTTGATTAAAGCTGACACTGCCTTGGTTCCAAAGTAACTATGATCGTGTGTGTGTGTGTGTGTGTGTGTGTGTGTATGTGTGTGTGTGTGTGTACTCAAGGTTGGCATACACTGGATCAATTGAGAGAAGCTGGAGTTGGTGAAGGCACTAGTGGGCAACTGTCAGAGTATGGGAGGATGTGTGATTCTGAGTGTGGGGGTGGGAGGGACAGTGATGTAGGGATCAAATGAAGTCTTGGTGGAGACATCTGTTTCCACAAAACATTTATAAGGTTGGTCCAATGCTAGAGGAGTGAATTGTTGTGTCTATGAACCATTTTCATAATCCTTTGCCAACTGCAGACCAAATACAACCGAGTATAACACACCGTCTGATGTCTCCACATCCTTTAGATTACAACTAGCAATGGTGGTGTTAGGTCTAAATAGAAGGAGCAAAAAGAAGAGAGATCTTGAAATATTTCCCTCATTCAGCAGGCTCTGTCCAAGGGTCTCACTGCTGTGTATATGAATGGAAGACCTTGTTAGCTGAGGCCAGCCGTATCTAGACCATCACCTGGCTTTGGGCGTAGGCCTCCCCCTTCTCAGCTTAGATATTTAAGCTGAAGCATAAAGCTTTGAGTTGGTACAAAGGCACCTACTTTTTGGGCAGTTTGACCTTCTTGAGGTCCTCCTCAGCAGCTGGGTTAACGTGAGCGATGTGGCAGCCAAGGGCCAGGAGAGTTCTGTGACACAACAGAGGAAGAAGACTAGTGTCAACTGTAAGGTAAAGGACAGAGCCATGACTTGCAGCTGAGCTGAACAACAGCCCTTCACTCAGGGCACACGTTGGTAGCTACTTTCTGTAAAGGACCAGACAATACACACTTTGGACCTTATAAACCTTAGGTCTTTGTCACAACTACTCAACTCTACCATTAGAGAGCAAAACAGTATTATCTGTGGCTTCTGATAATATATCCATCGACCAATGAATTTGGCATTTTTACAATAAAATTTATTTATAGAAGCATGTAGCTTGCGTGACTGTGCCATGGGCCATAAGTTGCCCACTTGTGATTAGATGATAGCAAGCCCAAGAACACGAAAGGGAGGCTTCTTAATCGTCCCTCTTGGGAATATTTTCCAGTTTACAAATTCACTTTGAAGTATATCTGGCTTATAATTTCATAGAGCAGACAGAATCCTAATTCTAGACCCATGAGTCAGCAAATATTTGTTGTGTGCTGCTCATCTAGTTCCTTAAGTTGGGCTTGACACCGGGAGGTACAAAGCTTGTCCCTCAAGAAGCACCAGTGTAATTGAAGATATCATTTAGGTGAGCCTACAAGACAGCATCTTTCATACACTGTTATATCAACAAATGCTAGACTGCTCTGCACTGTCAGAGAACAGGAAACTATAAAGACAGAACAGGTAACAAACACAAAAGGAATTCAAAAGGAGAGATGCTAATTCGGGACAGTACATGGCAGGGGTCACAGGGAGATATAAGTAGGATTTTTAAAAAATATTTAATACAGGGTCTACAGGGTCTCACTACACAGATCAGACTTGTAGTTTTTTTTTTCTCTCTCTTTTTTAAAAAAAAATTTTTTTTTTTTTTTTGTGGTTAGCTCAGCCTACCCTGGGGGTGGGGCTGGCATGGCATGTGGTGCTGGGGATCAAACCGAGGTCCCTGCATGCTTGCCTAAGTTTGCCTAAGCAGGCACTTTAGACCACTGAGCTTTCTCATCAGCCCTGTAGTTTTCTCTTGATGTCAATAGTTTTCAGCCTACCAAGCACTGGGATTACAGGCATGCACCACCATGTCCAGTCTCAATCCCGGTCTTAACACGCCCTGAGGGTGGGGCCGGCACTGCATGCTGGGGATTGAATCCTGGTCCCTGTGCCTGTCTATAAGGTGCTTTAGTCTGCTGAGCTATCTGGCCAGCCCTTATAAGTAGTTTTAAAATGGAATTTTAGTGAATCAGACTGTTTCCCATTGGCTTTCACAAATGGCTTATCTTTTTTATATCTTGATTTAATGTGAATTTCAAGAGACACTTGGTCTTTTGTTTCTCTTCTTTTTTTTGCCTCCCACAGCATATCCCTGTTTCTAGAAAATAGCAAATGCACTCTACAGAAATATGTATACTAAATAACAACAGTAGATTGGTTATTTGCTTTGTTAGATGCTCTTGTAACATGAATGATCACCATCCCCTCTAATTTATCAGCATGTGTCATGTTTTTAGGGAAGAGTGACATATCTTTTCAGTTTAGTTATAATGCATTAAATCATCCACTCACTGTTTAGTCCAACTTCAATTCAATTAAACACTCACTTTAAGGTTTCAGTTGACATTTGTAGATTATAATTCTTCTCAGTTTCAGGGAGCTTTGAAAATTCCACAAGGCAGGGGTGTTGTCTTTTATTGTCATCTCGTACCTAGGTGACAATAGAAGAAAAAATATAGATTAAGTTTTGACAGCTGGCCTTGCACTGAAAAACAGAAATGAATACACTTTGAAATAGGACCCAGGCAACATGTATCAGGTTAGACAAAGGTAGCAACTTGCTGATAGGGAGCAGATGATCTCTCCAGTAATGGAGGTGAATCTCCAAGGCACAGTGGCTTCTGCTCCGCAGATTTGTTTCTAGACAGGTGTCTGCACTCAGAATGCCCTTTTTAAAGAAGCAACTGTATACATGGTTGCCATGGTGCTACTTAAGTCGCTATAATGGTACTTAAGGGTACACTTCTTCAGTAATAAAGGACTACAGAAGCCTGACCAGTGTTCAACAGAAATGTAAAATTGGCCAAAGATGTGAACTGCATTTGTAACTTCAAATTTTCTAGTTAGTCACAATAGAAAAGCAATTAGAAACAGATGATACTAATATTAACAATGTATTTTATTTAACCATGAATATGCAAGTTACTATCTTGGTGATAATATAAGAAAATTTAAGTAATCCATATAAGAAAGTTTAGAAGATATTCTATATTATGCTTTCCTACTAAGTGTTCCAAGTTTAGGGTATATTTTATAGTGACAGCAAATCTTAATCCAGACTAGCATTCAAGGCTCAGTAGCCACATGTATCTCACAGTTATTGTACTGAACAGTGTGGATGCAAACATCAAGTCATTCATTCATTCATTCATTCATTCATTCATTCATTCATTCATTCAAGCAAATGAACTTCATTCAAGTGCTGCAGTAGATATGAGGAGTTCTCAGGCTCATGAAGAGAACAATTTAATAGGAATGGAAGTAGAATGAAATATTCATAGGTATATGTGTAAAATTCCAGTTCTGAGTTTTCTAATGGAGTGCTCTGTGCTATTACACAAGCATAAAACAGAGGGGTGCCCATACAGAAGGACAATCTTTTATGGTAGCTGTATTCATACATAAATGTCAGAGTGCAGGGACTTTTTCCATAACTAAGTGGGTAGATATCATTTGAGAGTGTCAGGGTCACAGGAAGATTCAGAACTCACCTGTCCTTCTGCCTTCAGACATGACCTTATACTTACCACAGAACAAAGTCAATTTACATTTCATTTAAAAATACTTTCTAGTGAAAGAAATTCCCTAACCTACTCTGAGTGTCTATTAATCTTAGTGATACATCTGAAAGCCACAGGTTCCTGGCTGCAGATAAATAATAAGAGAAGGTAGGCAGGTGGCAGGAAGAGGGCTCATGAAGTTCCCACACTTGTATAAGTGTCTGAAACACCCTTCTCAGTGACAGGGCAATCCAAGTCCCCACTTTGGGCTGGCCATTGAACTATATACCTTGCCGAAAGTCCAGCCAAGCTCTATTTTGTTCATTCCCCAAAGCTCATGGATGTTTTCAGCCAATCTGTCCCGGATCTTCTCTAGGTGAGGTGGCAAAACAATCTTAAAGAAAAAGAACAGCCTGTGAAATGTCAGAGCTGGAAGAATCTGTTATATTGAAGATCATAATGTCTTTAGCAGCCAGTGTCTCACTGGAATGCTCCTGCACATCACCAAGGCAGTGCGGCACAGTGCCACAGGCTTCCAGTCCTATGCTGCTCTGCTCCTTGGGGCCTCTCTGACCACACTGTTTAAGTCTCCCTTGCAGACATCTGTGCGGCATGTGACTCCCTTTACCTTACCTTCTCACTCCATCCACTCCCTGAAAGACCTTACCTGCTGCTACCCAGTCATTTATAAGTCGGTGCATCTCTGCCCATCGTCGCCTCTAAGTTCAGACCTGTTTCTTCATCAAAGTGACCTCAATGTGTATGCCAAGTTGGAATCATCAACTTTCCTTCAAAATATTTTTCCCGTCATGCTTTTACTTCCTCTTTTTGTTAAATGGTCCCACTATTTTCTCAAGCCTAAAAGTCATCTTAGTTTCTTCCTCCCTTGTTGGCATTACCTTCTCTTTCAATCTGTCATGGACTCTGCATGCTTATTTCCTGAGTCTTTCTCAAGGATCTCTTCCACTACATCACATTATTTTCTGCCTAGACCACTGAAAAAGTCTTATAATTGCTTTCCCCAAACTCCCCCCATCTATTCTCCGATGACCAGAGAGACAAGTGCACTACAACAAAAACAAGAAATCAATGAAAAAATTACACTGAAACACTGCTCCAGTGTGTTTTCCCAAAGTACTCCGCAGCCTAAGAAAAGCCTAGATGCATTAACCAGGTATATAATGGCCTTTTCTCAATGAGGTCTCCACTAACTCATGCTGCCCATGGTTGGTGATATAGCTCAGCCGACCAAGCGCTTGCTTAGGTAAGCTCAAGGGCCAGGGTTTGATCCCTGGCACCACAGGTCACACCAGCCCTGCCCCCAGGCATGCTGAGTGCTTGATGGAGTCTGGGCATGGTGGCATGCACCTGTAATCCCAGAACTAAGGAGGCAGAAATCAGGAGGATCATTATGGGTCCAAGCTGTGTAGTTAGGCCCTACACAAACAACAACAACAACAACAATAACAACAACACCTTAACTCATGCTTTCCAAACTTCTTAAAATTTTCCCGAAGACCATGCTCTTCCACAGTTCTCCCCCCTTCAATGCTCACTGGTGCTCTATGTACACATTTAGTACATATTCAGACATGTTTGCATTCCATAATGATGACCTGCTTTGTGGGTAGTTGGCACATGCACCTATCATATCTTGATTCTTTTTTATTTATTTTCTCTCTTCTCCTTCTCCTTCTTCCTTCAAAAGGATTTATCTTATCTTTTGTTTTGCTATTTATTTGTATTTTGGCTTTCTCATATCAGAGAAGTTGATGTAATACTAAGGTTTCTGTGTATAATTGATTTCACTTAACATTGTGGTCTCCAGGTGCATCCATTTTCCTACAAATGATCCAAGTCTATCCTTCTTTATGGCAGTGTAGTACTCCAAATGTGTTTAAGTGCCACATACTCTCTATTCATCTGTTAATGGACAAATAAACTGCTTCTAAGATTTAGCAATCATAAATTATTCTGCTACAAACATGGGTAGGCATATAGCACTATGATACAATGCATTTAACTCTTTTTACCTACAAAGGTAAAACTTTAGTCAAATGGATTTTCTAAGCTTATTTTTTGGGAAATCTCCACACTGATTCCCATAATGGCTGTGTTAGTTAATATTCCTACAAACAGCGTAGAGGCATTCCTTTTCTCCCGCAGCCTTGAGAACATTGGTTATTGTTTGAGTTCTTGATGATAGTCATTCTTTTTGGCTTAAAATAAAATGTCAGTGTTGTTTTAATGACTCACAATAAACAATTTATTGATCATTTGTACTTTTTCTGAGAAGTAGCTACTGATTTTAGTTGCCCATTTTTGATTGGACATTTTATTTTGGGAGGAGTTAGTTTTTTAATTCTTTCTATATGCTGGATTATTTGTTCTCAGAGGGCTAGCCAGCAATTTTTTCCATTCTGTAGGCTGTCTCTTACTCTGTCGGTTATTTTCTTTGCTGGGAAGAAGCTTTTTAATTTGGTGTGATCTCATTCGTTGGTATTTGATGTTGTTTCCTCTGCCAGGGAAGCTCTGTTCAGAAGGTCCTTGTCTATGCCTTTGTCTTCAGTCGTGTTAACTATTTTATCTTTCAGGAGATTGTTTCTGCTTTAATATTTAGATCTTTGACCCATTTTGATTTTAGGTTAGTACATGTTGAGAGATATGAGTCTAGATTTAATCTTCTGCATGTGGATGGCCAGTTGTCCCAGTAGCATTTGTGAAGAGGCTATGTTACCTCCAGTGTATGTTTTTGGTCCGTTTGTCAAAGATCAAATAGGTGGTACTATTTCTAAAAAATGTTAGATTCTAAAAGTTTACAAGGTCTCACTGAAGGGAATAAATGCTTCTATTCCCTAAGAACTTCTCTATGAATCAATCGCCAAGCAACATTTCCATAGTTACGGGGTCCACATAAGTTCGGCTCTGAGCTTAGATGTCGAAGTTGCTGTGTTCTGGTGATCTGCGCATCTGTTTTTGTGCTGGCGCCTTACTGCTTTCATCACTGTAGCTTTCTAACACAACTTCAGATCTGAGATTGGATGCCACCTGGTTTGCTGTTGTTAACCAGGATTCCTTTGGATATTCTGTTTTTTTTTTTTTTTTT